CAGCCACATAAGCAGAGAGAGACAAAACACAGACACGGAAACACATATACAGCCACATAAGCAGAGAGAGATAACACAGAGACACAGAGAGAGACACATGCATAGGCACACAGAGAAACAACGCCTCTGTGTCGAGGCCTTAAATAGAGAGGGGGGGGGGCAGAGAGAGACGGGGGGTAGAGAATTTAGCATGTCAATGAGATATTTGGAGCGTTCGTGACTGCAGGCAATAATAGTGCAACAACACAAGGACACAGAGAGAGAGAAAACACACGTAATCAAACAAACTTAGTAAAATTTGGAAATGTAATGCAACACAGAGAATTGGTCAATACAACGCAAAGCCTGGTTGCTTACGTTCTTCCAAAGATTGCTAAATTAGAAGTTGTGTGAAATTTTGAGAGAGAGACAAGACACAGACACATCTGTGAGGGAGACAAGACACAGACATATCTGTGCGTTAATCTCTGTGTTGCATTGCATTACATTTCTCTCTCTTTGTCTCTCTCTCAAATTTAGCAATCTTTGGAAGAACGTAATCAACCAAGTAGGGTGTTGACTATTATGTTAGCCGACTCTCTGTGTTGTATTGCATTATATTTCTAAGTTTACTAGGTTTGTTTTCTCTATCATTTTTACCTGATGATGATTGCTTGTGTTGCAATCGAAACGTCGTATGCTATTATTTAATTATTATTTTATTTCTACGTGACTTTACCGAAAGAACCAAAGAGTAATAATAGTAGGGCTGGGATTTGCCATACATATGAATTGGACAATCCCCTCCTATAACAAAATGGGTCCCTTAGCCAGAGACTCCGTGCTAGATCTTTCATGTAAGGGAAAGCATTGTTATTTTAATGAGAACTGACACTGCAGTGTAATAACCTACACTACGGTGCTGTTGTTATATAGCAGGATCGCGAGAGGTATGTACACATGTTGAACTTTTTTTCCGTACCCAACCATTTTTATTAAAAGCATACGTAGATTTATATAATAAAACATCGATTAATTGACGTTTTTATTTGTTTCGACATAATCTGCTAATTGCTTTAGTCTTCTACAGTACACTGCTTGAGTGTAGTCCCCCGTGCCTTTGTTGTCAGGATGTAGAGGGGGTGTTACCCAAACGTCGCACGTTTACTGCATATCCCCATGGCTAACTTCAATATCCCTCCTTAAAAAACAACGGCCCTTATTACTCAAACGCCTGCACCTTCATTACATTCTCCGCTTACTTCTACTCCCTCCCCCCATTTTAATTATGCATAATCATTATGATCATTCACTCTCAATTACACGCTCATCATTCACTCTTATTAACACCCCCATCAGCACAATGATAACACAAACCTGAATGACGTCAACATCAATCACATCAAACATCTGTAACATTGACATCAATTACACTGACATCAATATTCCCAACACTGCGTTCATCACAGTAGCAATAATTGCGATGATGTCATCATCTTTCGATTTAAAGCTTTCGTGACTGCAGGGATTCATTTTCTTGGTTCTTTCAGTAAAGTCACGTAGAAGGGAAATAATACAAATTCAACATAATAAAATGAAATTCTCACGACTTTTCGGCCACAACACAAGTAGCCTTCCTCAGGTGAAGAAACAGAACTGTCAGAAAGACAGCACTCCAATGAACACTGCTAAGCTTGGCAGCGTATTTTAAGCTGGGTGGGAGGAGCAGAGCGCCTTGACAAAGGAGTTTACATATCAACAGAAGAATTTAGCATTGAAGTAGCTGTGCTAATGTGAGATTAGCAGGATGTTAAAGTCAGAAATTAGCATGTAACTGGGAGATTAGCATGATGTTAGTGTGAGGGATTAGCATGTAACAGGTCACGGAAGTAGCTATGTTAAAGTCAGAGTTTACATATCAACAGAGGCATTTAGTATATTGACGCTAAATAACTGCAACTACCCAACTATCATACAATAAACCGATGTGAAAGAACTAAATATAAACTACATAAATGTAATAAATGTACTTAATATAGTCTCCAATAAGCTGAGCTATTATCATAAAGCAACTGGGTATAGACTACACTATACAATGAATACCATATAGTAAATTGATAAAAACCTAAAAGATAAACTAGATGTGGTTCTAGACATACAGTACCTGGGTGTCTACAAACTAAGTTGCCTCTGTGGTAGCAGTTACATTAGCTAAAGGGCTAAACTTTGCAGTCACACCTAGACACATACCAGTTAATGATATCATTGCCCATGTCGACGTGGCTCTCAAGGGCCTGGGTCACATCGCTGCAGACGTAGCAAGATCTGAAATCGCTGCAACCCTAAAAAACGCTAAGATGCAGCTAGCAACATCAGCAAAGATGAGTGTTTTGAATTATCTCAATTAAAAAAGAGGGATGACATTGTCACCCTCTCAGCCGACAAGGACAATGCCACTGTCATCATGGACAAAATAGAATATTACAACAAAATTCAGGAACTACCCAACGATGGTAGCTATACAAAAATAAGAAGAGACCCCACCAACAGCCTCGTCACTAAAACCAACAAAATCATTTCTGATTCAACCGCATTAATTGATCAAACCAAATAGTTCTCGTTGAAACCTTCTGCGGCCAGGCCACCAAGATTATATGGCCTTCCAAAGATACATAAAGAAGATACACTCCTTTGTCCCATTGTTTCTACTATCAACTCCCCCACCTACAAACTGGCTCATTTTTTGTTTGAAATCCTGCGGCCTTTAACTGGAAAAACCACCTCTGCGGTACTAAACTCTACTCACCTGGTATCGACAAGCAAGGGTATTTCCCTGTTCCCAGACGACCTGCTTGTCAGTTTTGATGTGGTTTCCTTATTCACCAAAGTTCCTGTACCTGACACCATCGCAATCATTGAAGACTTGGTTCATCAAGGACTGCATACTGATGTACCCCCCCCTGGTGAGACACTGCTTAACCAACACATACTTAACCTGGAATGGAACTTTCTACAAACAAACTGAGGGCACCCCAATGGGACCCCCTATCTCCGGTTGTAGCCAACGTTTTCATGGAGAAATTTGAGACTGACGCCATCCAGACTGCCACTCTGTGCCCGAACTTATGGAAGAGCTACGTGGATGACACTTTTGTCATCTGGCTACATGGCCGGCCTGCTCTAGACCAATTCCTCGACCACATCAATTCCATACACCCAGCCATCAGATTTACCATGGAAGTCGAAAAAGATGGCAAGCTACCTTTTTTGGATGTCCTAATAAAAAAGAGACCTGATGGTTCAGTGAGCCACTCTGTCTACAGGAAAGCTACCCATACGGATGCTTACCTGAAACCGGATTCCCACCACCATCCATCCCAGCAAAAATTCCCTCATCAAGACTCTGCACCATAGAGCCCAATGCATATCCGACCAGGAACACATAGCCAGTGAACTCAAGCACGTACACCAAGCTCCTAAGGCTAATGGTTATTCCGACTACACAATCCGCAAAGATATCACTCCAACCATGAAGAAGGACCCTCTTGAGGAGCCTTTCAAAACCATCACTTTACCCTACATTGCGGGGATCACAAAAAAGATCACCAAAATCTTGAATAAACACAAGATCCAGGTCCGATTCAACACATTACATAAAATCCGTGATGTGGTTCTGTCTGTAAAATATGTGATTCTGTACATACAGTACCCTGGCGTCTACAAACTAAGTTGCCTCTGTGGTAGTAGTTACATTGGAGAAACCAAACGACATGTCTCGGGCCGCATTCGTGAACACAAAGCAGACCTGAAACACGGTAGGAGCAACACCTCGGCCGTGGCAGATCACTGTTATAATTCAGTACGTTCACATGACATTGACTTCCCCAAGACAGAGATTCTTTGCAAGCCATCTGGCTACCATGAGAGATTCGTTCATGAGGCTATCCACATATACAAACACAGAGACAATTGGAACTGAGAAGATGGATTCTGGCTTAGCAATCATTGAAAGGATTTGATAAACCATTTCGGGTCTTAATTGATTGATCACGCTTAAGGTGACTTTCAGACTGCATCCATTATTTTTCGTCTCCCCCCTCCTCTTTTCGAACATAGATGGACTCGTCCATCTGAACAAACTGTCAAATCGCTATCCGTGGTGCTAACGTTAAAAAATCGCCACTTTTTTAAATTTTCATGTGGTTTTCACACCTGATGATGATTGCTTGTGTTGCAGTCTAAACGTCGTGATAATTTAATTTTTTATATATATTTATTGTTTCCCTTCTACGTGACTTTACCGAAAGAACCAAGAATATAATATATATGTTGCTAAATGAAACATACTTTTATATATTTTACATATTTCTTTTGAGTGATTTGCTTTAATTTCCTATACTTTGCACTCCGATGTTTTTTTTGTATTGATTGTTTTTGTAACTTTCTCACCCGTTCCTGCTGGATATCTTCGAAAACAAGCTTCATAGCTCATCGGAATTTCCAGGATAATGTTCTGATTGTAATAATCAATATAGGAACGGCCAAGATGACCTTGACCTTCGCCAATATCATAGCGATGACGTACCCTAAGATTTATGTAAATTTGTGACGTCACAGCGTTGTGACCGATTCAGAATATTGATATCGGAGGAATCCTATGAGCTATGAAGCTCTGTTTCACATTTGGCCAGTCAGGGTGCGTCAGCAAGTTATGTCAACAACAACAAAAAAACAATAAAATGGTACAAGAGTCAGATCGAATAAAATAAATATTGTAAATTCAAGTGTTCCGAGCGCGCCAGTCTAGAAACTCCACTCGCATATATTTAAATGTGAACGTGTCCATTCGCACAGCAGAGTTACGGTTAAATTCTCTGCCACTTCCAGAACAATCGCGTCGTGACGTCACGAAGGCTAACGGCGAGTCACGCACGCCGTCGTGACGTCACGACGCAAAGGCGTTCATTGTACGTCGTGACGTGATGACGTCATCCTACAAAAGCAAATCATGGGTGGGCGTAGCGAGAGCGCCCGCGTCACGAGGCGGTGACGTCACCGACGCATGACGTCAGCTCCCGTGCCGCCATCGCTCTCTTTTCAAGTCCCTCCTGGCTGCGGGAGGCGCCGCTCCTGCATCGCGCGGCTTCGTCCGTGAAAATCCGCAACCATGGTGAGCCATCGGGCCTCGCTCGACTCGCGTTTACCACGGCACACATCCCGGCTACCTACTACTTCGATTATTTTTGGGATTGTGCGGATATTTTTAGAGTTTTTTTCGCGATATGTTACGACGGGCGCCACGGCCCGTGTTGGCAGGCCCCGCTCACACCTTACCCGCTATGCGCGCAATGTGTGTCGCACAGGTGGCGGCGTCACGCTCATGCTACTCGAACCGCTGTTATATTTTTAAACGAATGCGGGTTAAGTGACCGGTTATGGTGTCAGTGATTATAGTAATGCGTTATTTGGCGGTGGTTATTAACGTAGCTGTGCGGACGTGGCATGAATGGCGCCCGGCGTTCGGGCCGCGGCCTCGGGAGACTTTAATTTCAATTAAGCGTTATAATGACACTGTCGGGAGATAATAGAAGTGATCTTCATTTATACGCGAATGTTTGGGTATTTTTACGTCTAAATACGTGTAATACGCGAACGAATAGTTTTTCTTGTCTGGCTTAGTGTGTGCTTTTTGTAATTACGGTGAATCGTTTAGTCCTAGTTGCCGGTAATAAGATGGCGGATTTGGTTCGAGCAGAGTTGTACGCAGTTGCACAATTGACTCCTGCGTATCTGGGCGTGCGCATATTTGGACTGCGTTACACAACGGGTGAAAGCGTCCCATTGAAAGCAACGGCTTGTCCTAACATACACTAGCATTACTTTGATTCCTTCACAGACATGAAAATCATGTTTTCGTCCAGAACTTATGTCCAGCCATATGTTTTAAGCCATTGAGCGGTAGACCAGTTAGACTTTGTAGGTCTCGTCAGCAGTCAGGCTTGTTTATATTCGCATTGCTTAAAGTGGCTTAATTACATGAACGCGTGGACTTAATCGCTGAAATATTTACATATTTAAAGAACACAAATTGAACTCGAGCAGAGAAAACAATGAGCCGGCGTTTGTGATGACGTCCCCGCATCCGGCCGCGCATGCGCACAGCGTGTCTGCGGGAGGTACCCTTCCCCCACCCCCCTCACGTAGCCGCAGTGCGCATGCGCGCGATGTTCTCTTGCTCACCTCTCCACGCCGGATCTGACGTTCTTCCAAAATAAGCCCCTCAGGCCACAATGGTTCTTTGCATCTATGAAATAAAAAGCCCTCGTACCTGTCAGGCCACCACTGCGCCTCCCTTTGACGTTTTTATTACCAGCACTGAGCGTATTTAAGGGGTGTTGAGACATTGAAATGTGTATTCGCGTAGTTTCTGCAGCTGAGAGGCGCTTGATTTTAGAATCGACGTCCTTAAACATGAGAACCCATTGAGATTTGAAGTGACGTTATTATGGATCGGCGTTGAAAAATGTACCAACCCGTCGTAACCAATTTGGTGAAATATAGTCAACCAACATGTACTGTAGTCTTTGTCAATGAATACATGAATCATAGAATACATTGCACGGTCAAGCTTAACCAGTCAAAACGTCAATTTGTAATGGACAATATTAAACCAGTGAGCCTATTGCATTATATTTGTGGTTGAAGTCCCTTTAAACAAGAGCAACCCATTGAGAAGTCATCCGATTCAATTCACTCCTTTTAGCAGGTGACTACTGAGGTTAATATGTAAATGTGCATCCTATATTTAACTAGCTGAGCATGTAGTTAACATGCATCTTAAGATTGACGTCAATATAACCAAGCGTGATTCCCACTGACCTATTGAGCCCAATGACGGTGCACTGACTGCGTCATTGACGTTCGTTTCACCTAGAGCCGATTGGGATTATTTAATTTACAATGGTAACATGAGAACACCACGTTATTCGAGCCTTAGTTTTCTACTATTTGGACTGTTACATGTTGACAGTGTCAAACTCAATGCGACACAAAAAAAGTAACGTATTCCCATGTATTTTGTTGAATATATTTTTGCTTTTACGTGTTTAATCCTCTCATCTCTTACCTGGATTCATTGAAGTGCTTGAGAAATGTCAGGTGACTGGCAGGTAATAATTTACATATGCTTCTAAACTTGCCGAGGAGGCTATAAGATAATTTATCCACCCAATAAAACCCTCTGAATTCCTTAAGTGCCCCACAGATTTCTATCCAATCATAGACCAGATTTTCATCCCTACACATATCTTCGGTTGCACTTGCCCATTGGCGGTCCTTTCATTCCTGTTTTTTGAGCTATAGCTGCTTATCTAAACAGACTGTCCACCACTTGAGTTGTGTAGGGTTATTCATTCGAATTGAAGTTTTGGTTAAGTTTCAGGTTTTGTGTTTCAGAACCCGGTTTATCATGCCTAAGGCTGCATTTTTTACCTCACTTGGCAATGCTGTCGTTTTCTTTGGTTCTTTCGGTAAAGTCACGTAGAATGAGAATAAAATAATAAATTGATAAAATAAAATAACACAATAATATTCTCACGACGTTTCGGCCACAACACAAGCGGCCTTCATCAGGTGAAGGGAGCGAGCAGTCTCGCTCCCTTCACCTGATGAAGGGAGCGAGCAGTCTCGCCGAAACGTCGTGAGAATATTATTGTGTTATTTTATTTTATCAATTTATTATTTTATTCTCATTCTACGTGACTTTACCGAAAGAACCAAAGAAAACGACAGCATTGCCAAGTGAGGTAAAAAATGCAGCCTTAGGCATGATAAACCTGATGAAGGCCGCTTGTGTTGTGGCCGAAACGTCGTGAGAATATTATTGTGTTATTTTATTTTATCAATTTATTATTTTATTCTCATTCTACGTGACTTTACCGAAAGAACCAAAGAAGATGAATCATTGCAGTCACGAAAGCTTTAAATCGAAATTTAATGCTGTCGTTGATGGCGACGTTGGGCTGTGTGTGTTGAAAGCAACTGTGGTGATGTGCGTAGGGAGTGGAGGTGACGACATTCTTAATGCTGCAGGCAGTGGTGCTTGCGAAACCACCAATTTGCCTTGTAGTTGGGCAGATAAATGTACTCAGGATGCTGCAGACGTTGCCAACTTAAGAGCTGAGTGCCTCTTCAAATGTGTGTTAAAGAATGTCATATATTACACGTGGAATCTTGGCTTAAAGCTTTCGTGACTGCAGGAATTCATATTCTTGAGTCTTTCGGTAAAGTCACGTAGATAGGTTCAAAGAAAATAACCAAAAAAATAACAAAAAACTACGACGTTTCGCTTGTTGCCATCGAAACGTCGTAGTTTTTTGTTATTTTCTTTGAACCTATCTGTGACTTTACCGAAAGACACCAAGAATACACTTGGAATATTATAATATTTTAATTTTTTAATGTTTAACAGACAAAACTTTAGGTCACTGGCAACTCGAACCAATTTGACGTAAGCCAGCACCACTATCTTGGGTTTAAATGTGACCACATGCCAACCGGGCCTGGCTTAAACTTTTAGCTCCATTGTCATTCCCCTGCAGATATATGGCCTCCTTCCATGCCGTGTCAGTCATGGGGTTCTGATGGCCAAATATCACCATGCTGGTTCATGTTGGTTGGTGAATGCGGTAGGCAGGACCATACTTTGTTTTTTTCGGTATGAATCCTTGCAGTCACGAAAGCTTCAAATCTAGAATTAATAGCCAGGACCATTTCGGATGTGATTTTCCACCGGATAGTGTTGGCTGAGAATCGGAACAGATGGTGCTGGATTCGTAGCACAGGGGGCGATCCACTGCCGCCATTTCTCTGGAGCCTGGTGGTTCAGTCATATATCTCTTGCCCAACTATGAAGGCTTAATTCTGTAAATGTATTGGATGACTTGTGCAAGGACAAACACTTGAGCAGAGTGGTGTGCAAGAGAAGTCTGAAGTTATTCCATAAGTGGTTTGGTGGTGTCATCTCCCAGGGCCTTGCCCTACTAACTGAAACCATTTCTGAAGGGTTTTTATGTCAACACATGGCATGTGCAATACAGTTGAGATGTGATTGCTGATCCTTTTCTCCCATTTCTGCTTTGTTTTAACCTCTTGTCCCATGCCTTCCTGCAGGTGAACTTCACAGTAGACCAGATCCGTGCGATCATGGACAAAAAGTCCAACATCCGCAACATGTCGGTAATTGCGCATGTGGATCACGGCAAGTCGACGCTGACCGACTCGCTCGTGTGCAAGGCCGGCATCATTGCCGGGTCGCGTGCTGGAGAGACACGCTTCACGGACACCCGCAAGGACGAGCAGGAACGCTGCATCACCATCAAATCTACGTGAGTGCCACACTTGCTGACCGTTCACCACATTGCACGTCACAGCATTTCTCACGTGTCGCCAGGTGGACCATTCGTTCAAAGCCATTTTGCCATTCCAGGGCTAGATTAAGGCCTCCCCCTCCCCCCCCCCCCCCCAGCTGCCTGTTATTGAGGTTATTTTATTATACTTCATGCATATTGTGGATTGATCCATCAAGGGGGAGGCGGGTCCAGGACCGGTTTGGATATCATTCGCTAGTTTGTTAGCCTAGGCCTAGAATCGAGCTTGGGTCTCCAGGTTCATAACACTGTGCAATAACCACTGCTGATGCTTGAGCCCTGGATAACTTAAGCCATAGAAATAAGTAAAATGTCTACTCATAAAATTTTATTTTTCTTCTATTGGCTTATTAAAATTTTGGAGAAATGTTAAACTTGGAGTCTTAAGATCACAAGTCTTAAAGGGGTGTTTCAGGGTTAGGGAGTCATTGGCTGAATATTGCGTTAATGACAGTCTGCGACGAGGTATTTATTACCAAATGTGTAGTGTGGTATACTTCCCGTGTTACCATTGCTGTATATTTATTATTGGAATGTTTGATTCTTATTTTGTTATACAAACATTGCCCGAAACTTTAAGCCATAGTTGTGGTTTTATTGTCTCTTTACTGCTGCTTGTATCTTTTACCACCTTTAATAACATTTTCAAGTGTACACATCCATTAATTTAAATAAGTAGAGCAAATTATCTTTGTATACAAATGAATAATTTTGATTGTAAGGGATGGCAAGCTCTGAATTTGCCGAATTGGATTCTCATATATTTGCATTGAGGATGCACCAAAGCTGTCGCCCGATAGACGCTGACCCCTCACACCGTGCGCATCCAACAGGGCCATCTCCCTGTACTACGAGCTGCAGGAGACCGATCTGGCCTTCATCAAGCAGTGCAAGGACGGTAACGGCTTCCTCATCAATCTCATTGACTCTCCCGGCCACGTCGACTTCTCCTCCGAGGTCACAGCTGCCCTGCGTGTCACCGACGGTGCGCTGGTCGTCGTCGACTGTGTCTCCGGTGAGTCCTGTCGGGTTTCTCACCGCCACCGTGCTTTTGAATTGAGGGCGAGCATTTAACTTTTTAAAATAAGTACCTAAAGAGGTTGTATTGAAGTTGACCTTAAGGTCCCTCATTCACCCCAAGCATGTGCTTTGGTAATAGAGATTTTTTTTGTAAAGCATTGTTTGAACATCCTTTACGTTAACCACTTTTACTCCAAATTAGGGCCTTATTCTGAGTCACAGCTTTGCACTGGTTTGGCATCGTAACACGGTTAATCTCAGAATCAAACCGCTTGGTTTCTTGTGAAGATGCCTGAGCAACTCTGCTCAAGTTAAGCATGGCTTTTAAGCCCGGCTCACTTGAGCCAGCGCCTAGCTGTGGTTAAGAATACAGGCTTTGATGTTCCTTCGGACACTTTGAATGACCGGCACGAGCGGTGTAACGTTTATGCGTGTGCTCTGTGCAGGTGTGTGCGTGCAGACTGAGACGGTGCTACGCCAGGCTATCGGCGAGCGCATCAAGCCCGTGCTCATGATGAACAAAATGGACCGCGCGCTCCTCGAGCTGCAGCTTGAGCCCGAGCCACTCTTCCAGACCTTCCAGCGCATCGTTGAGAATGTCAACGTCATCATCTCCACCTATGGCGAGGATGAGAATGGACCCATGGGAAACATCATGGTATGTGCATCTGTAAACTGCGCCTGAAATGCGGTACAGGCATACCCCATTTAGCTTGGGAGATGCATGCCTGGAGAACGGGAGCGCGAGGTGAATCGGTGCTATATGGCAGTGGTCCCCAACCTTTTTGGCACAAGGGACCGGTTTCGTGGAAGACAATTTTTTGACGGACCGGGGGGGTGGTTTCCCCCTTTTCAAAGAAGCTCTCCAGCGACGTTTGTTTTTTACTCGGGCCACGGACCGGTACCGGTCTGCCACCTGGGGGTTGGGGACCCCTGCTATAACGGGGTCCGATCATAGGCCCAATGGAGATGTTCCCAACAGTAATTTATCACCTACGACCAACACATTAGTGGTTCATTGGGTTATTGGAACAATAATACAGATGATAAACATTTAAAAATATTGTTAATGGTACAGCATTTTTTATCAAATAAACATTGTACTAGTGCATGGTGAGACCCCGATATGGCAAACTTGGCATAGCTGGGAGACAATGAGAGTTATAGCTTGCACCTGCTGGTGCAGTCCAATCTGTGACTTGACTCCCCCCCGCTTCTAGAGGAAAGTGCTCATTGCTGAAGAGCGAACTCCGTGCCATCTTGAGTGATAGCGCTTGCTCATAGGCTGAGGGTGGAGAGCATACAATGGTGCTAATACTGCACGGTATTTGGATGAGAGAGTACACCGTGTTAACTCAAGTACGGCTTTTCATCCTTGTATTAATGTTTTAAATGTACAAAATATATATTTTTCAAGTAAAATGTTGCCCAAGAACAAACAGCTCTATGACGGGGTAGCGCTAAACGGGGTATGCCTGTACAGTAAAACCTTGGATTGCGAGTAACTTAGTCTGCGAGTGTTTTGCAAGACGAGCAAATTTTTAAAATAGATATTAATTTTATAAACAAGCGAGGTCTTGCAATACGAGTAGTACGTATACGCTTTGTCTGCTGGGCGTCACGTGATCACAACTGATATACGAATGCTTTGATATACGAGTGCTTTGGATTACAAACACGTTTCCGGAACGAATTATGCTCGCAATCCAAGGTTTCACTGTATTTTAAACTGGAGATGAACCGTGCAGATTTCTTGCGCATCAACTTTCGTTGCACATTAAAATGAATGCACATATAATGCATATCTTTGTGTGGTGTTGAATCTACTTGTTTTTCCAGCCTGCACTAATTTTTCTGTTGTGATGGGTTTCGTCATAATTTTCAGATTTTAATTATTGTTGCCTATAGGCACGTGCTAATGGGGTGCCGATAGTATAAAGGTAAATACTCTCCATACATATATGGAGCTCCCGGAGGTATATTTCAGTAGTGAACAATTGATTACTGTCCTCATTAGTCCTAAGGATGAAACCGTCTACAGTTGTATCTTTGTTCCACTGCTGCTTGTTAGTTGGTCATATTTTCTCTCGATGGTCTAAGACAATGTTCACATTACAGTTCTTAACTGGTGGTTTCCTATATAAGCTTTTTGCGCATAGTACAATACAGACTGTGGGAAGGGCTTGATCTGAATCCACCCACCTGCCTGTTTTGTTTGGACTGTTGAGGCCAAAAGGAGTTTTGTGAACCTGACAGGATCAAGGGATCATAAGACAGACATTTTAGAGCAAAGATTAAAGCTGTACGGCAATATTCAGCCTTTGTTTCCGCAGCATTGCAGTACGTGTTAACTTGCGCAACATGGACAAGAACGTTGTTGTGAGCAGGAGATTGGCACCGTTTACTTTGACATACTCGGCGGCTTAATACGGCCGTCACGGGTAACTAACGCTAATGTCCGCCATGTTTGCAGGTGGACCCAGTGGCAGGCACAGTGGGCTTTGGTTCCGGCCTTCACGGTTGGGCCTTCACCCTCAAGCAGTTCGCTGAGATGTACGTGTCCAAGTTTGCAGCCAAGGGTGACAAGAACATCAGCGCGACAGAGCGCTGCAAGAAGGTGGAGGATATGATGAAGAAGCTGTGGGGCGAAAGGTGAGCGCTGAACAGTTTTTTCACTACTGGTGATGTTAGCTGCCCGCATGAGTTAAGTTTTGCCTTTTAGTGCTCGGTCACATGGCGTGTGCTTGGAGGATATAAAGTATAGGAAACCTCAACTTGAAAAACTGACCCATTGTAGACGTATACCTAGGCTGTTTGACTCGTCCGTTCTAGGTGATTTTGAGCCTATGTAATGACAAATTCTTAAGTGACTTTCAGCCACGTGACTGTCGTGACAATGTTCTGACATCACTGCAGCAATTGTATTTTCAAATCGGTTTATTGTGAAGTTTTCAAATTGTGTCGACTGCTGAATAAAGACAGCCCGAGATGAGACCTTGTGTTGTGCCTTAAAAGGATCTGTTAGACGTCAGGTGCGAAGAGGTTATTTTTATTGAAAATAATTGTTTGCATAACAGCACTGTACATGGGCAATCTGAGTTTGGTGTAATTGGTTGTTGGGGGGACCATAAACAATAGGCTTGGTGTTTTTCGAGAGTCGGTCATACAGCACTGTGCTTGCATAACGTGTGGGTCTGTGCACAGGTATTTCGATCCCGCAACCATGAAGTTCAGCAAGTCTGCCACCAACGCTGCTGGAGAGAAGCTTCCGCGCACCTTCTGCCAACTTGTGCTGGACCCCATCTTCAAGGTGCTTCTCACCCCAAGCTGGGTTCCCCTTGCGCACATCTTGCTTGACGTTATATACCCCAAACGTCGTTCAGCACCATCTTAAGGAGAAACGTTGTGAAGAAGCATGCTTAATCATGAGTGGCTTGGAAATCACCTTCACACGGGCTATCAAAACCCATTGATTCTGTAAAATGTTCTCCCTATGAGCTGTTATGTATAAAAAGGGCATCCCAAACTATATTAGAAGCTTTCGTGACTGCAGGAATGACTCTTTGGTTCTTTTGGTAAAGTTACGTAGAAATAAATTAAATAATATTATACGACGTTTCGATTGCAACACAAGCAACCATCATCGGGTACAAATGAATGAGAAAACAAACATGGTAAACTTGGAAATATAATGCAATAAAACACAGAGTCGGCCAACAAAACAGTCAACACCCCACATGGTTGATTACGTGCTTCCAAAGATTGCTAAATTTGTGAGACCAAACATAGACATGGAGACACAGACACAAGCAGAGAGACTCGCAGACAGAGGCACACAGAAAGACAACGTCTCTGTGTCGATGCCTTAAATAGAGAGAGGGGGGGGGGTGGGTGGGACAGATGGGGAGTTGTGTGGAATTCTTGCCCATCGGGTACGGACGACCTAGACACGACTTCTAAACAAACAAGCAGGGAGCGTTGTGTGGAATTACTGCCCCACGCGGGCCGGAGGAGAGAATGGACCCATAAACAAGCACGGTGGAAAGCAAAACGTATTTTATTGTTATTTAATTTCTTTTTACGTGACTTTACCGAAAGAACCAAAGAGTGTAAGGCATCCCAATTGTTCATCAAATCTATTTGATTCATTTGCTTATGGGGAATGCATTGAAACCATAGTATTAATAATACATTTACAATTTGTTTTTGTGTAATTGCTTTGTGTGGCTTCTACAGCCACTATATGAATTTCCTTCACTGGTGTGTAAAAGTATATTCTTGAATATTACATTTAGGCTTATGGAGTGATGCGCCCAAACAAAAAATATATTCTTGAAACAAGACCATGACCCGAAATCGTAATGGTCGCAAACAATTTAGTTTCCTTTGCTGATGCTAATATTTTCACACAATGGACACATTTTATTGGCAGACACACTATGGCAATATTTTGGTTGATGTAAAATGTTTAACTATCCATTGTGTAATGGGTTTTAAACTGCAGTAATTGAGGGACTAATGTGCCCGTTTGCATGGCAGTATTTAGCTGCAGACCAGTAATGTGTCGTGCTGGCAGGTGCGCAGTCTTGATGATGACGAAATACAATTCTTCACTTTGACCTGATCTTCATTGATGAGGACCTTTGTTCTGATTGTACTGCGCTCCTGCTATGATGGGTGGGAGCTACGTCGCCATTGGACAAGACTGGTTTTATGCAACTCGCTTGTTTTCTTTCCTTTGCACAGGTTTTCGACGCCATCATGAACTTCAAGAAGGAAGAGACGGCCAAGCTGGTTGAGAAACTGGACATAAAGCTGGACACAGAGGACAAGGACAAGGAGGGAAAGCCCCTGCTCAAGGTGAGGCTTGAGCTGCTGTCTCGGGTTGTTGGTTTATTGTCCACTTTACATAATTTTTCGGAATGGCTTGTCAATCCCAAAATTCATGGTATTAATAACAAAAGTTATGATATTGCTACGGCGAACGTTAAAGCCCACATTCAAATGTGATGAGTGGCAGGCGTCGTCAATAACTCCGTGGTCTGCTTCATCAGACACATTGTTTGGTTGTTGTGAAACATTTGGATGTTTGCACAAACCGATAATTATTTTTGGTGTGGTTGTGAATGGTCATAAGTTATTTATTAAGCTATTGTGCATTGAGGTAGTCATCAAATCATGTTTTTAGCCCTTAGCCAGTGGTCAAAATTCCACATTCCTTTGTCCATAGCAAGTTTATCCATTGGACAAACACATTTTGCTTCCCCACAATGTAGCACTCAATGCTACTCTTAAATGTAGCACTCGTCAAAAAGCACACTAACAACGCTAATTGTGCATTTTTCGCGTGTGTACGTTCGTCAGGCTGTGATGCGCCGCTGGCTGCCTGCTGGAGACGCCCTGCTGCAGATGATCACTATCCACCTGCCGTCGCCCGTCACGGCCCAGCGCTACCGCTGCGAGCTGCTCTACGAGGGACCTGGTGATGACGAGGCCGCCATGGGTATGCTTGAACGCATGCTGCGCTCTTTTACTTAACCTCCGTTGCGTTCAAGTGACTGCATTAAACGCTCCTGATGAAAATTTAGTGGCCGGATGCATGAAATGTCTTAAGTGGTTTTATTTTCCACCCGAATTTACAAAAGTGGTAATTAGAAAATGGAAGTTTTTACCAATAGTGTGTAACCATCTGTAGACTACACCTGTGCAAAAGTACGTTGCTGTTGGCAATCTAAGTTTGAGAGATGCTTTGTTAACAAAGGACTTGCAGGTCTACAATGTATAATTGATGGATGATGAACTCCATATTATCAACACGTGGGGGGTGGGGTTTTGGGTGTGGAGAGGGGATGTGCTGCACCGTGCCAGTCAAGCTGGAGAGGTGATGGGAGAAGTAGGCTGGCACTTGAATTGCGTTGATTTTATAATTACGATTTTAGCGTATTCGTCACACATTGTGCTATTTAAAATTCGCGGGGTTGTATTTTAAATGTTCCTGGCTGTAGGCGCGCTACTTAGCCAATCAAGAAGTAGTGAGCCATTGGAGCGGTGTAGAAGCCCGCGCGACTCCCGCAGCCTGCCTCTGGCTGCCACAATGTTTACACGCTAGTGCTTTCCTTGACAATCTTTTTAAATTGCCTACTGTATAATATTAAATTATATTTACACTTTTAAATATGTTTATGTTAATCATAAGTACAGGTAAGCTAAACACAATATATACATATGAATATCCATACAGTTTGTTTAAATATTATTATTGTTTGTCCCCTAAGCCTAGTTTCCTCAAGCTTTTAAGTATTCATATTTTCGCGGATTTAATATTTAGATCCAACAGGAACGTATATCCCCCGCGAATGAATGGTTTGCGGTGACGTGTCTAAGCAATGATGGAAAACAGCAAATGAGACGAGCGGCTGTGTTATAATTGGGGTAGATTTATTTTGATAGGTTTTACATCTGGCGTGGGAAACGATATGGTCTGATAATTAACAAAAATGTGGCTTGGGTGGCTAGGCATCATGACGTAAATTTGGGTACCTTGTCTTGACTGGTCCCAGGCATCAAGAACTGTGACCCCAAGGCACCACTGATGATGTACATCTCCAAAATGGTACCCACCACCGACAAGGGCCGCTTCTACGCCTTCGGCCGGGTCTTCTCGGGCGTCGTGTCTACTGGACAAAAGGTCCGCATCATGGGGCCCAACTACACCCCCGGCAAGAAGGAGGACCTGTTCATCAAGCCCATTCAGAGGTGGGTGGGGTGCTCATCACATGACACTTTCACTGAGCTCCTATCGTTAATGCAAGTGAGCTTTGAAGTTCCTCTATAGCATTTGAGCTGCTTCAGCTGGCAACATTTGAACTCCTCGGTTGGTGTTTATTGGTGCTATCTGCGAAATCAACACTTAATAATTAATCCTCACGTAAACCTATATAATTGAGTTTAAGAGACCTCAGATGTTATCGTGATCGGAGAGCTCTTAAACAAGTTTGGATGACAAGAGAATTTGTGTTGCGAGGACTTCATTTCAGCCAGGTCTGTCTCTTGAGTCTGACCCAATAAATATTTTCAGACCTGGCACACCACATCGATTTTATATTTCTTATCTCACTAGCTGTAGCTATTTGTCACATGCCTCTTACTCCAGTTGACCAGTGGCTTGGGAAAAATTCGATGAGAAATTAAGTGCTCTTGCACCCTGTATTAAACTGTCTCAAAGAAACAGTTGAGGATTGTTGGTTCACAGTAAATAATGATTATTCTTTGAACAGTAGTGGTTATTAAATCACATTATGGCACCATGTTTTCAAGTGTAGCTAAAGTCTATTGAATAACTTGAAAAGTAGTTGTGACATTTTGGGTGATTCCTCCACAGTGTAGTACAATCTCTATGGGTTCCACACTGACCAATTTTGTCTCCCAGCACTGCTATTTGCACAATTAGGTGCAATAAAATAAGTGTCAATGAGCTAAAAAAAACGATTTTCACTTTTGTTCATGTTGTGTAATGGAGGTCCCTGCTTGTTGACCATAACGTGGATTGCACCTTGCGCAGGACCATCCTGATGATGGGCCGCTACGTTGAGCCCATCGAGGAGGTGCCCTGCGGCAACATCGTCGGCCTCGTTGGTGTGGACCAGTTCCTTGTTAAAACCGGCACAATCAGCACTTACGAGCACGCCCACAATCTGAGGGTGAGACCCCCCCCACCACCCTTCTGCCTTTGCTTCATTGTCCCCAAGCCACTCCGGCAAAGACCGAGTATAGTGGCCACTATCACCAATTGCGAAGTCTGGACAAGGTTCATCACGCACTTAACGAGGCCAGATGGGGGCATCCATGGATAGCCCAAGCTGTAAATGCAGATGTGTGAATGCTACGACGAATACCGTGAAGGAGGATTTCCCCTATAGTTTAAAACAATACGTTTTTTGTGCTCAAATGAGTGTTTAGATGCTCGTATACTCTTTACAGTACTGCGCTATTGGTGTAAATTCCACATTGAATAGGGCAAGTTGGTCAAAGGAAAACCACAGTGTACCATGTTAGGATGTCATCGCAACCAGGATTGTTCATGCCACCTCACTGCTCCATTGCTTTTTTATAATTACAATTACCACAGCATTGTTAGCTGAAATTACAATTACGTTATGATTGCTATTCCATATTTATCCACTGGTGTTGGTAAGGGGGGAGTAGGTGAACTTTGGAAAGCTTCACGTAAGCCCAACTGTGTCCCTCTGTTTGCCTGCAGGTGATGAAGTTCAGCGTGAGCCCTGTGGTCCGCGTGGCCGTAGAGGCCAAGAACCCTGCAGACCTGCCCAAGCTGGTGGAAGGCCTGAAGCGTCTGGCCAAGTCTGACCCCATGGTGCAGGTGTGTCACCTCGTGGTAGTGGGGTTCTTGTATGAATCCTGATGCTTGTCTTTCCCTCGGTTGTCCCTTCTGTTGTCATGAACACTCCTCTATGGAGGTGGTTTGGGTGGCTCTAAGGACCGAGCGCAGAGCCGACACTGCTGTCCATGTGCCAGCCCATTAACAATCCTTTACAATGTTTGTTTCATTGTGCCTTTCCAGTGTATCATTGAGGAGTCCGGCGAGCACATCATTGCTGGTGCTGGAGAGCTGCACTTAGAGATCTGCCTGAAGGATTTGGAGGAAGACCATGCCTGTATCCCCATCAAGGTAAGGGGTGCATGATTGCAACTGCCAGAAACCAGCTCGTTCACGCGTCTGTTACGGCTTCCTTGCTGCATCTAAATGCAGCAAGGAGGCCGTAACAGACTGCTGCCGGATGAGGTTCACATGCCATGCAGTCTTGGTGGTTATTTGACCATATTTCACCACGCTGGTCAGTACGAGTTTGTGAATATGGGGAGCTATAGGCAAAATCATTGAAGTAAGACGGTTTCCCCACACTGCCTTCTAAGAGTAGGAACGACAGCGGCTGTTTGAACATGGTGGTCACTCGCCCAAGCACTAGCCATCTCTATTCTGCTCGTCTATCGAGATGTGACGAGACCAAGAGTGTTCTGGGCAATTAGGTCATGTCATTAGGCGTCTTGGTTCATTCAAACGCAATTAACCCGTTTTCACAAAATAAACTGATTTGCGCGTTGCTTTCTTGCACAGAAATCGGACCCAGTGGTCTCTTATCGCGAGACGGTGGAGAACGAGTCGGACCAGGTCTGCCTGTCCAAGTCGCCCAACAAGCACAACCGCCTGTACATGAAGGCACGCCCCTTGTCCGACGGCCTGGCCGAGGACATCGACAAGGGTGAAGTGGCGGCGCGGCAGGAGCTGAAGTTACGCGCCCGCTACCTGGTCGATAAGTACGAGTGGGACGTGACGGAGGCGCGTAAGATCTGGTGCTTCGGCCCCGATGGCACAGGCCCCAACATGCTCGTGGACGTCACAAAGGGAGTGCAATACCTCAATGAGATCAAGGACAGCGTGGTCGCCGGCTTCCAGTGGGCCATGAAGGAGGTGGGTGGGTGTGACGTTGGTTGATGTTAACTACCTAGCCTGGTATACAGGAGGTTGTGGGTTTGATCCCGACACCTATATATTTGGAGTTTTCATGTTCTCCGTTTTTTCCCTCCATATTTAGGAATCTGCATTTAGAGTATTTGGCTGCTATACATTTCTACATTCCACTTCGTTGAGCTATCATTTATGGCCTGGTCGCTTATGAAAAGCTGTCGAGCTTGCTGGGTCTTACCTAATAAAATAAAAATGGCTTGGTTTCAGAGTGGATGGGACCCTCTGCTCCAGTCGTTCCCACGCTTTGGGTGAAATGTTGGCCGTGCAATTGACTACTTGCATACGCAACGTCGATGTTATGCTGCCCCTCAGCTATTTTTATCGGGTGTGTGACGGCTGTCTCGTGATTCACACATACTTGTGTTGAATGGGCACAATTTAGGGCGAGATTCCATTGATTAAGCTCTCACCCTCAATTGTCTGGAATCTTTTAGTTGGTAGTTGTGTAACAAAAATCCATTGCGTGCAGAATTTCAATGACACAAATATATTTTTCTATTGATAAATCAATATTCTGAAAGTGGAATATTTGAAGCGAATGCTTAAGAGCAGCAGTTGCTGTTGTTTTGCCCCATGTATGCACATTTTGCTAAAGAGCAGTTGACGCCATTCAAATTGTATTTTTAAGGAAATCTAATAAAATAGTCACACCCTGATTTACGCACTCCTACTTTACGGATTTGTGCTATAACCTAAACTTATTGATATCCAATTCCATTTCATGTACTGTACCTCCCCATAACGTATTAGAGATGTACAGACTTAACCATTAAGCCCCATTTTTGTATGTTCCACGTTGAACATTCAGGCACCAGATAGCGCACAAGCATTTGCGTCTGACTGGCTATAGTTTGCTTCATGTGTACTCTTAATATTTTTTCCCCGCATACTGTATGGTGATTTTCTTTGTACAAGTGTAAACTATGATAAGCTAAGAATACAGTGTAATAGACAAGGTAATATATCAATAATATACATTTACTTTTCACACTGGTGGTTGTGCAGTGTAGATACGCAATGGGTTGCTGATAATCCCCTGTTTAAGTACTGAACTATGTAATGATCCACCAAAAATGCTTAGATTTAAGTAAATTTGATTTACTTTAAAATATCACGTAACCAAAGGTCATGTCCGTGTGGCATTTTAGATTTTATCTTTGAGAACGTTAACGATTCTCCCTCCACGTGGTGCTCCCCTCCCCATCGGCGGCAGGGTGTGCTGTGCGATGAGAACATGCGTGGAGTGCGCTTCGACATCCACGATGTGACGCTGCATGCAGACGCCATCCACCGTGGCGGTGGGCAGATTATCCCCACGGCGCGACGCGTCATGTATGCGAGCATGCTGACGGCTGGGCCGCGCCTCATGGAGCCCATCTACCTGGTCGAGATTCAGGTGCGCGGAGCGCTGCCCGGTTGCGAATGATTGCACAAAAAAGCATCGACTAGCTGCACTTGAGAAATTAGTTTCATCACAAATTACGTTTGTGCTGCCTTGTACTCCTTGACTGCTGAGCCAACAACTGCCTTGCTATCATGGAGGAGTTTTAATTGAAACTGGCAAAAAGGAGTTGTCAATTTTAGTGGATGGGCAGGGTGGTAGGGAGAGGCTCCAGAATTAATATGAAAACCCTCTCGACGCACTCATCTCTGCAGTGGGGGGAGATACACTGTGGGGTCAGACTTGGCCATACACTTAAGGCCTTCCTTCCACCAGCTTGGGACATTAAAATAACTTTTCGCAGGGCTGCAATGCCCACTAGTTTTTTTTGCTAGATAACGTCGTGGCTGTAGGAGGCCTAGAGGGGTTCACCACAGACCTTTTAGCTACGTCAAATCTACTGTTACTGAAATTTAAGGATAGAGCTCAGTTTGGGAGTTTGACAACAGAGGGTGGTTGCTGCTATGCGCTCATAATTTCCTCCACGGTAGAGCCCTGTAATGACTTGGTGTGCATAATCTCTGTGGTTGATAAGATACTTTGTCTTGTCAGCAACTGAGCCTGGTCCTTCCCATAGGAATGTGGAATTTACACAACTGACTCAGGCCCACCAATAGATTTTCATAGTACCATCACATTGCTCGTTTGAGCAAAAATAATTATGAACCGGAAATCCTTACAAAATCTGCAAGGAACGATGGCAGTGGTAGCACCTTGAAGCAGGGCTGACAACTTTGATAAAACCCAAAGCTCTTGATTTCTGACGTAAATTTTTTTGTGTATAATTATTGCTTTTTCTTCAATACATCCTCTAGGTGTTCTTATGAAATACCTGAATCAAGGGTAGTGCCTAACCGAGTACGGTATTGTGGCTTGCAGTGTCCGGAGGCCGTGGTGGGCGGCATCTACGGCGTGCTCAACAGGAAACGTGGCCACGTCTTTGAGGAGTCGCAGGTGGCCGGCACGCCCATGTTTGTCGTCAAGGCTTACCTTCCCGTCAACGAGTCCTTCGGTAAGCACAAGCTGTGGCAGCCTGGGGTTCTGAGCCCGATCTTGTGCAAGTGACAGTCGGCATTGAGGTTGGTAAGGGGGTGGGCAAGAATTACAGTACATTGCCGTCTTGGCGTGTGAATGGCCGTTGAGCCCCGTGTTCTCCGTCTGCAATCCGTGCGCACACTTTTTAGGATTCACGGCAGACCTGCGCTCCAACACGGGCGGCCAGGCCTTCCCGCAGTGCGTGTTCGACCACTGGCAGATCCTGCCCGGCGACCCCTCCGACCCCACCACCCGTCCTGCCCAGGTGGTGGTGGAGACGCGCAAGCGCAAGGGGCTCAAAGAGGGCATTCCGGCGCTGGACAACTACCTGGACAAGCTGTAGAGCGGTGCCGCTGCCATCACCAACGACCACTTTTCCACGAGCACCACCCACGCCTCCATTTTTCAAAGCAGTTTAACACCCGTATTTGATAATACCTGATTAAGTGACTGCCTGAGGACTTGTGACCATCTGGAGGGGGCTAACAAATGTCGCACTACCATGAAGATCATACATCCTCTCTCAAATTAAGCAACCGGAATGTAACCTTGAAAATGCTTAAAATAAAGTTGTAGTGCAAGTGTGCGTCCTGGGTTGAATTGATCTGTTAGCGCTGTGAACGCCAATTGTGGGGTGAAAGTTTTCCAGTTTCTTTGGAAATGTGAAAGTGGTATTATGCAACATGGTGAAATTCGTGTAGTTGGAGAAGGTACATTTTTTGGCTCGTGTAACATTTGAAGTTTACAAGGTTTCCATGAAAAAATCTTTCAAATCACAGTACTATATGTTCAGAATTTGAGCTGATTGAAAGTCTTATTTCATACATTTGTTTGGCCTTGGAGGGATAAAGCTGTTAAATTGATGTGTATTGATACATGGACATGTGTCCTAGTTGGTAGCCATGCCCAATTGTGTTTTGAAGGACAATCCTTTTTGGGCAGTGCCATCTGGACAAGTTTAATCTGGTGAATGTGCAAGGCTACTGCTCTGCCAAAAGCACTGGAAAGTTATGCCATAGTACTGCGAAAAATATTCACTAACCACTGCATGACATGGAAGGATAAAGGTACAGTTGGAAAGTGAAATGTGTATACAGGTCTTGACAGGTTAAAAATGCATGTCTGCAATGGACCAAAAGCTTTGTAAATTGCTCCAATTCTGTTGTCACTTGATGCTAACTGGGAGCTGCAGTGTGGCATGTACAACAGTGGAAGAACATGTACAATATATATGGTCCGTTGTCAATTTTAATGAGCAACTGAAGAAAACATGTCTACAAGACGTTCCAATACCAAATGTGCAAGGAGACTGACAAACAGGCATCCTGTGAGGATTACCAATGTGGCTAAAAATGACATTTAATCAACTACAAACTGTACATTATTTTTTTACAATATTAAGCTGACTTGACATCCCAAAATCCATGGAGAGATCTGCTTTTGGCATTATGCAGCCTGTTAAGGTTTCAGCACCACTTGCAGGATAAGGCCATGTTTGTGCAGGTACTTCAGGTCAAGTCTTGTTCTGTGAAATAAATACCTTCAATGGTGGTATTGCTGTAAATTTTAAACGATTTGACACTTGCAAGTAATCAGAGCTGTGTGGTTAACTTGTGGGGGAAGATATTGTAATTTTTACAACCTGAGTGTTAGTGCACAGTTATGTCTCAGCTTTCCTGACCCAATAGGTTTGTGTTAGATGGCATAAATATAGATCAGCACAGCCAAATAGTAAGGTTTATCATGTAAACAAAACATTACAATTAGTTTCTAGTTCAGCACATTTACAATTTGAGTTTTGCTGGTAATTATAACCAGTCCTCTTGAATTGTAAATGTTGGTTTGCTCTTTAACACTGGTGTGCTTAACTCGTAAGGAATTGGCATGCTTTGCTTGCGTACACCTTACTAATTAGTTGTGGTGGTGGGTTGAGCAACACAGAAAAGGAAATTACAAATCTAGGGGTCATCTGTGATCCCATGTGCTTCAAGGCTCGTTAAAAAGATCACTTCATTTTCTATCTTCAGAATCTATCCTATCCCTTCCCTGCCTCCCATGCAGAAAAGGTGGTCCATGCTGTCATATCAGACTTTTAATGTCTTACTCCGTGGTGTGGCTAAAGTGCTGCGACACCAGTTTTGGCTTCCCTGAACCATCTTGCCCCGCCTACATTGACATGCTGCACCCATGTCCCCTCAACGGTCACTAAGATCTGGCGATCTCTGCATTGCCAGGTTTAGGTTTTGGTCTGGGTGACAGCTTTTTCCCATGTAGCCCCCAGGCTATAGAAGGCTCCTCAATTAAATTTCAGGATCAGAGTGGACATTTTCAAATGTTCCTTAAAAACCTATACACTTCTTAAACTTTTCGTTTTAGTAAATTATTCTTAAAATGCATTTAATATGCTGAGTGTGTGCTTCTGTCTTGTATATTGCTTTGAGATCCTTGATGAAAAGTGTGATATAGATCTATTTATGCAATCTAGCCCAAAATACATTTTTTTGGTGGTCTTGACACCCCACATGCCCAGGACTGGTTTGATAACTTGAACCGAAGTGTTGGTGAAGCCAGTGTCCAATTTGAATCTTCTCGAATATCAACCCCAAGGTCCGTGGAGGCTGCTGCATTATAAGCACAGTTGACTGGCACAGCCTCTCCCCTGCTTCATGGATAGTCAGTCGAGTGAGATGACATCTGGATAGGCCCTGGCAGCCACCGTGGCAGCAGTACTGGGAGGGTGTGGCTCCTGCAAGCGGCTGGAGGTGGTGGACGTCATGGTGGATGTGGTGAGCGCAGCTGCGTTTGACGACGGATTGTCCAGGTACACTCCGCTGCCGAACTGGGGACAAGACAGTAATGATGTGCAACAAATCTAAAAGGTTCCAAGTCGTGCTGCAAGCATGTGTGAACAAACCAGGTACTGTGACAGTGGCCTCGTGGTTGGCACATTGAATGAAGTGCGGTATCGTGCCTTGACTTCCCCTCTTGCAAAGTCCCTCCAGCCTGAGCTCTGCTGCAATTACACCACTGGTGGTATTAAAGGCTGTGCATTAATCCTGGAGGTGTTACATTTGCCAATATAAAATATCTGCAAATTTTGCTGGGTCCAAAACTTCAAGATGAACATACATTTTATATAAGCTATGAAGCTTTTTCACAGATGCCCAAGCTGGTCAGCAAAAATGGAAAATTAGAGGCAGTTACAGATTAAAATACATCTGCTTGGCGCCAAATGTCGATTTAAAAAAACTGCATGTTTTTATGCAATCAAAAATATGCAAAGGGAACGATGGAATAGATTTGTCTGCAGCACTTGTGGCACAAAAAAAAGCCTTGAGGTGCTAATATTGGGAGACCGGTATAATTAGGTGCAATGTTCAATACAGTAACATGGCACAGTAAGTAGATTGTGAAGTACACTGGTGAATACAGAAATGTAGGTGAATGCCACTTACCTGACTATCCGTCTGCAAGATGGAGTACAAATCCAGGGCTGTAAAATACAGGAATAAAGTTAGAGCACCCAGCACCCGTCTGTATTGCCATAACAGCATTTACAGCCAACAATGTGATGTAGAAGTGTCACCTAGATAAGTTAACATTTGTGGAAATTTCATTGACAGTTAACGGTAATGCAAAAACCAGTCTTAATGCAATGTTGCAAAAATCTGGTACTCTGGTATAGAGTTCCATCTTTAATGAAAACCTGATGTGGAAAACGCGCACCAAAACTAACCCGAACCTCTGGTTATTTCGGTAAAGTCACGTAGAAAATCAAATAATAAAATGCGACGTTTCGGTTGCAGCACAAGCAACCATCAGGAAAGAATGATAAAACAGACACGGGAACAGCATAGGCAGACAAGCAGAGAGAGACACACCAAGACAGGACAACGAATCTGCCGAGGCTTTAAATAGAGGGGAGAGGGGCCGGGGCAGAGAGAGGACTGGGGAGGTGGGACCAGCTGACAAACGTGGGGACAGAGGGAGCAGTGTGGAATTCTGGACCACAGTGGCCGGAGGAGAGGCAATGGTTTAGAGCAAGAAAATCGAAAGTTTGAGAAAGCAAATTTAGTAAAATTAAGAAGCGTAATGCAATGCAACAGGGTCGGTTAACACATAGTTCAGGCATAGCCTGGTTGATTAACGCTCTTCTAAAGATTGCTAAATTACAAAGTGTGATAAAACACAGACACGGAAACAGCATAGGCAGATCCACAAGCAGAAAGAGATGCAACACTAATACGCACCGAGCGAGAAATAGAACGTTTGACAGCAAATTTAGCAAAATTAGAGTGTAATGTAATGCAACGCAGAGTCTGCTAAAACACAGTTAACGCAAAGTGCGTGTTTTATCATTCATTCTTACCTTGCTTGTGTTGCAACCGAAACGTCGTATTCTATTATTTGATTTTATTTTCTACGTGACTTCACCAAAAGAATCAGAGTAATTCCTGCAATAGCGAAAGCTTAAAATCTAGTTTTAACCCAAACCTAGCCATAATCTAACCCTAACCTAACTCTAACCTGACGCTTACCTAAACATAACCTAGCCCTAAGGTAACCCAAACCTAACGCTAACCTAACCGTAACCCAAACATAACCTAGCCCTAACATAACCTTAACCTAAACATAATCTAACCCTTACCCAACCCTAACTCTAACCTAGCCCTTATAGACCTAACCCTAACCTAACGCTAAACTAACCCTATCCGAACCTAACCATAACCTAACCGCTGCTTTGCACATTACCGCTTGCTAGGTGATTAATATTGCAGATTGCGATTCAGCTCGTGTAAGAAAGCCATTCGCTTTTATTCTAGGTTTACTTTAATTTGGATCGAGAGTTGGAACCAGTCACACCGAACCGGCAGGGTGCAATGAGATGATTCAAGGGGCTGTAATAATGGCAAGGAAGCTAGAGGCCCAATAGATAACGTCAAAGCGTTGATATTCAAAGAGTAGGGCTCCTCAAACTCCAGTGCTGGTGAACCACTTAGTGCAGTTGTCTACATTTTCCGCATCTCCAGTAAAATTAAGGCGGTAACCAAAGAACGAGATTAATTTGATCAAAACTACGTCACGATTAGCTTAGAAAGCTCTAAACCCTATGACGAGGAAAACGTCAATGACATTGTGTGCGTGAACCCCGCACATGTCGTGAGCAGGTGCCTTTTCCAGTTAAGTTGGCCAAAGGTACTCACTGGGCATGTCTGGGGGCATGGTGGACATGGAGTAGGAGGTGAAGTCCGCCAGTGACGTGGGCAGGTAACTCGACACCATGGGGGACACACTGGAGCGGTGCAGGTTCAGCACCCTTAAACACACAGTGCACCACGATTAGAGCACGCAAGCCAACACCCGCAGCGCGTCGCCACTCAACGGACAAATGGCTAGCCGTTGCAAACTTGGGACGCATCTCGTGAACTCAACTTCTTAAATGCGGAGTTGGGCAATCTCTTATAAGCGTTAGTGAAACAATGTGTTTGTGTTATAAGTGATTAGGATAGAGCAGTCCATGCAACACAAGCCATAATCGATGTAAAATTATCTTTCAGTTGGCATCGCACACTTCAAACGCAGGGAAAGAAAGCGACAGTGAGAGTGGCTGCTTTGTGCATGCGTAGGCGTGAACAAGTCTTGTAAATAATGCATTTGCGTCTCACAAAACTATAAAAATAACTTTATTGTAATGTTATCAAATAACAGCACTCCCCATATGGCAGTGTCATCCCCCTGCATATCTTCAAAGGGGCCATGAGATGACAAAACGTAAACAAAATGCATACAACACGTTAAGGCAGGACTCCTCAATCGAGCAACACTCAACATTACTCGAGTACGTACGAACACAAAACGGTGGCTTTAATAGAAAATAAGTTAAAATTATGAAGGACACGAGCACAAGAGTAAGCCATAATTGCAGACATTAAAATGTTAATGACTAACCCCAATGTACAGTTAAGCAATAAAATGTCGATAACATAGACCCTTTATATATAGGGTAATTCAGACAGAACAAGAGGAAACATTCTTGCTTCTTCCCTGACACAATGCGATCAAGTGCAGCGCTTCCCGTGACCTCCCTGGTTCAAATAACGAAAACAAGCCCCGCGCTTGAAAACGTACTGCAATAAAACGTCGTGGCTGCTATAAACAATGCATGTCGAACACTTTGTGAACTTCCCCACGCTAGGCCCAACAATTTAACAGTGCCGCCCTTCGATTGAGAACGAGCGGCTACCAATCCTGCGAGAGTTCGTCGTGGTCCAGGACGGGCACCACTAACCCTTTCCCGGGCAGCTCCATGATGGCGCTCGTGCAGAACTTTTTTGTAGGTGGCGGCGGTGGAGGTGAGGGAGATGAGTCGTCATCGTCGTCGTCATCGTCGTCTCGCTCGCTGGCGTCTGATGAGTCGTCGGAGCTTCCCACTGTGAGGTCGATGACCTCGGCACGCTTGCTGCCCGCGCGGCTTGGTTGCGATGCCGACGCCGCCAATGCAGAGTAACCCGAGCTGCCGTAGCCACTCATACCTGCAGAGGTGAACGTTGCGGTTAAATTACTCGGCCTCATGGCACGGTAACGCTGTTGAAAGACTCGAACGTCCACGTTCGGATTTATTGTTGCTCATCACCGATGTCCAGAACTCGTGTGAGCAACGGACAAGAGGCACGTGAGGGCCTGTACAACCGTGGCGAGGTGTGCGGCCACTCACTATCAGCATTGGAGCGGTGCATGGTCGCCACTGTTCGCTCCTTGCTCTCCTTCTTGGGCTTCATTGGACTCCACAGCCCATCCTGCCGAAATTGGATCTCATCTGCGTCCGTGCAAGAGTTGAGAATCTCCACAAACAGCCTGTGGGCGGGCATGGGGGGTCATTTCTCCGCGCATCAAAGGAAATGAGCAGAAGCTGTAAACAAACAACCTGGCATATCCGCGGGGGGGGGGGGGGCGTGAGAGCACACGGCAGGAAGCTCACCCGTCGATGATTAGCCCGTCGTAGGGTGCCTTCTTGTCGCATACAGGGCAAACCCACGTGGGTTTCTTCTCATTCATCTGCAGGTACAATGCGGCGTCGAAGCACTGCAGGTGCGTGCAGGTGAGCGCCCGGCATGGCAGGCTCAGCCTCATCTTGCCGAGCTGAGGTTGTACAGCAGGAGCACACACATATACACATTCATAATAAAAGCTGTAATTTGCCACGATTACATGGTGCTGTCACCAGTACTTCTGCCATGGTAGTTGCACTTGGAGGCCACGTGAAATGCCAATCACTTGAAATTCAAAGAACAAACCTAGAATGTTATGTATTAATTGACTAATATGCTATACAATTGTAAAAGTGGACGAAGAGGTGTAACTTAAGCAGGGCTCTGTATTTCAGAGAACCATAGCGCATTGGGTTAACCCCTGTGCCATCATTCCACCCTACACATGCCGTATGTGCAGACATGCACGTACGTGGACCCAGACGCAACATGTACACACTTGCACAGATGCGAATACACGTAGGCATACACATACAGGCAAGTGCACACAAATGCAGGCACATAAACAAATACAGGCACAAATTTGCACGCATGCACACATGCAAACTACGTGGGGTCACACTGAAACCAACATTAAGCAAAACTGCGAACCGCTGCTGCGGCATGTGTGCGCAACATATGGGATGAATTATAATTATAATGGTAGGAGCATTGTTACATGATAAGTATAATTACAATTGCATTGTGATTAAAAATCATTGCAAGTTATGCGTGTTGAACATCTTTAGCACCTTACGTAGCCACCCGTGCTAATCGGAGGTGCGAAAATGTATACAATTACAAGTGTAATTCACCCTAGGTCTGATGCATAGGGACCACTCACCGGACACAGCAGGGACACCCTAAGGCTGGTGGTGGCAATCTCGCTGTCGGGATCAGCAGTCAGCTTCTCCTTGACTGCAAAAGACAAGGAGAACCCACCGTAATCTCAGGCCAGCACTTGGGCACCGTTGCGCATCCACACTGTGTGGCAGTCGATAAAAAGCTATGCGACCCAAACGAGATAAAAAAAAAAATCAATATATGCACACTGCCTAGCACGGCCAGGTGACTCAACAGCAAAAGTGAGCTGCTCACGATCAGTTATCCAGTTAGAATCCTGGTTGGGGGTTGACTCAGCCTTTCATCCCTTATCTATATAGAAAAAGTCAAAAATTGTTTGTGTGTGGGTTTGTGGCGGGGTTTGTGGGTTTGTGTGTTCGCGCGCTTGCGAAGGATTTGGCTCTCCAACGGTGGGGTTTACGTAAAATAAAAATAGCCAGGTACCACGCAGTAAGACCCGCCGTGAGCAAAGGCTATTACTTTTTCACATCCATCAACTTTTAATTAGTTTAATTAGGGATTTAGTGCAATTTTTGTGCGCTTCTTTTTTATTTATTCATGACGCATGCACGACCATACCAACTCACGCGCCTTTGGTGGGGGGGACGGCCCATGCCAAGTCGCATGCCAAGTCGCATGCCTTGGGTGGGAGTGAGGGGGACATTTTCTTTTGCGTTAAAAATGCAATAAAAATACACAATGCTCAGGTAAATTCTTCACTGTGTGATGTCCCCCCCACCCAGATGCGTGCAGTTACTACTATACAGTCGGTAGATGCTACCAATATAGGCCGTAGATATTACTGCAGAGCGGCCGGGGAGATCGTGGCTGGGGGGGGGCTCAAGGGTAGCAGCCCAGCCCCAGCCTGCCAAGGTGTCACCTCGGCCGGCTGGACAATCTAGGGGAGGCCGGAGGCTTTGCACAGGACTAGGCCTCACCACGCCACTGTCAGGCAAGTACTCTGTGCTATAGAGTCGATAAATACTGCAATAGAGTCAGCATGTACTACTGTAGTGATAGCAGGTACCACCACAGTCGGTATACACTGCTGTAATCATAGCAGGTACCACCAGTCAGTATGCACTGCTGTAATCATAGGTACCACCACAGTATGCACTGCTGCAGTGAAAGCAGGTACCACCACAGTATGCACTGCTGTAATCATAGCAGGTACCACCACAGTATGCACTGCTGTAATCATAGCAGGTACCACCACAGTCAGTAAGCACTGCTGTTATATTTTTAAGAGTAGTTTTGAAATATTTTTTAGGCCTGGGTAATGCCGGGTATATAAGCTAGTGGTCAATAAAATAGATAACAGTGGTTGTTATATGGATAGACTAGCCCTCACCATAGGAATGTGGTTTTCCACCACTGGCTTAGGGCTATAAATGGACAATACGCACCCCATTAATGCTCAATGAGCGAGCAATAACTTTATTTTTGGCAAACACGATTCTCAACCTATGTTAATAAAAAAAAAGAAAATACTTCCAAACGACTTCCAGGAACACTCACTCACTGTTGTATAAACTTGGTTCTGTAAAAAAGTCACTACAGTGACACCATGAGGGAACATCTGAATGCTTTATCAGTCTCGTTTCACAATCAAAGCTTCAAACACATATAGGACAACCCAGTACAACGATGGATATTTTGTGCAATCAATGCTGGTGACAGGGCTACAACATTCGAGAACCCATTTAACCCATTTACTTAACGTGTCTTTTGTTTTACAAACCCCAAGAAAATAACTAATCAAACTGTCGAGTCATCCTTTTGTTTTTTTCTCATAGTGCCGGCAAGGCAAGTGCACGCTTCTGTGTGCGGGACGCTGCACTCACTGAGGGCGCGCGAGTGGTCCGAGTTGCGGATGCCCTTCGCCTTGAGCCTGTTGAGCAACACGGCCGATGACAGCTGCTTCACCAGGTGCACGGCCAGCGAGTAGCTCTGTTGGTAGTGCAAGGACAAGAAGAGGAGGAGGGGGGGCGTAAAGAGAATGCGCGAGGAGAAATTGGTCGTACGTCCGCAGTGCAAATGTTTCCCCAGCTTATTAAATGTCTTATTACTATAAATAGCTCAACGACCACACAGGGTAAGATTTAACTTTTCTTTTATTAACGGTTGTTTACCCAGGAAAGTCTTGCCCACTCTCAAGACTACTTGTTCAGGAGGGTCCCACCAAGTTTTCCAGTCGGGGGTGCTGTTGTCACGTATTCCTAATGATCATTTTCAGATTCTTTTTCAGAATTTGGGCGTGTGGTCAATAGCAGTTACAATCCATAATACAGGATTTTTTGGGTTAGATTGCGGAAATATATAAATGCGCTGTTAAACCCGCCACCACCAATGTTGTGGCTCTGCTCTCCAATACACCGGTGTGCTGTACTAGTTACGAATTGGCATGTTATGTTTACGTGACAAACCTTACTAATTGGCTGTGTCGGGTGGTGACGGGTTTAACGACACATTTATATATTTATGCTATCTAACCCAAAAAACCTGTATTATGGATATTGGTCGCGAAAGCCTACGTGTTAAACTGACCAGCTACAATGTTTTGTTAAGCTTGACTCCAAGCAGCAAATAGGAGAGTTAGGCTGAGGTTGGGTAAATTCATGCGTGCTTATACATTTGTGTTACTGTTCTGGAAAGTCCCCTACAACTTAAGGGTAAATACATGATTTTGTTTTCATGCCAAATCAATGCGCCAGCATGTGTATCAATTGAAAAAGTTCCAAAAAAATGGTAATCACGAAAATTTTAAAAGGTTACATGTAAATCTGCACTCATGAACAACAGTGTACAGCCCTTTTGTCAATCAAATGTTAGATAAAATGCCTCCCCACTTGATCATACTTCATCACGCTCTCGTCAGAGCGGGTTGGTGGGCATGAACCGGCTGTAAAAGGTTATTTGCCAGTGCCGTGACGTGGACTGTGCGGTGTGTGCCAGGCACCGACCCTGCCGAAGTCCGTAGACCAGGACACGGTGATGTGGTTGGGCACGGAGGGTGTGAGCCGCACGAGCGACGTCATGTTGACCGCGCGGCTTGACCTCTTGGGCTCCACGCCGTTCTTCTGGGGTGGCAAGCAGCCCTGAGGTGGCACAGTGACGGATATATTGGCAAGAATAGATCACCACAACGCACACCCACACCCCAAGCCAAACACAAAGCTACTGCGTAAGACGTTACGTCCCTTTAGCAAGGGGAACCATCCACTGCTGGTACTCATCACTGGGTTACGAAGGCTTCGGACTAGATTCATATCGTGGAGGAGACTATTTGTTTTGTATACTTTAAGTGCAAGAAATGGACCAATTGGTGGAAAACGACGACTTGGATAATTGCATTTACCCAGAACATACATTTGTAAGTGTGTAACAATTACATTTGTAAATGTGTAACAATTCTTTGATGAACAGTGATTCTTATTAAATCTGCACTTAAAGCTTTCGTGACTGCAGGAATTCATATTCTTTGGGTCTTGCCGTAAAGTCACGAAGATAGGTTTAAAGAAAATAACAAAAAATAAAAAAACTATGACGTTTCAATCGCAACACAAGCGTTCGTCATCAGGAAGAACGCTTGTGTTGAGATCGAAGCGTCGTAGTTTTGTTATTTTTGGTTATTTTCTTTGAACCTATCTGCATGACTTTACCGAAATACCCAAAGAATATAGTGATTCTTATTCTCAAGATATTGGCATAAAAGTAATATGAATGTAATAAACAATTAGAACATATTACACAAAATGCACCCTGTTTATAAAAAGATATTTGAGTGCAAGTGTAGTGGGTTGAATAACTAGAAGAAGGCTTCTCTGAGGCAACACAGTTTTTATTTAACAATTAGCACTTAACACAGAGAGGTAACGGCCCCTCACACCTGATACACTATGGAGGTTACTCTCCAGACACCTACGCCTCTCACTGGCTAATCTACAAGTCCTCCGTGAGTGAAGCTTGAGTCTTCACTGGTATACAAGCTGGAGCCGACCCTTGCCAGGGGTACTGCTCTGCCCTTGGGGCTCATCAGTCTTCAGGCTTCTTGTCTTCAGCTGGATGACAACTGCCGGGACCGTCCAGAGGTCCGGCTTTTATACAGAGCTGTGGCTCGCTCTGCCCTGGCCACACCTTCCTTCTCGTACCTTCGAGAAGGATCCAGGGATGATGTCATCCCCCAGCCCTCCTCCTGGGGTCTGCCCCTTTTACATACTGTTCCATAGGGTAACTGTTGGACCTTATGAAGCATAGACTCTCAGCACTGGGGCTCGGCCCCTCTGTTGCCCCCTATTGAGGCCAGTATTGCCGGCTACCGCATGGGAACGGCGCATCTTGGCCCAATAACACCGTTAGACAAGTACCCATTTGGGGAAAGCCAATTACCAGTGTCCATTGGCTCAGGAATAAAAAAGCACCTTTGAACGTTCACCGAGCAAGGAAACCACTTTTTACCTGAAAGGGTTCCTGTTCGGCAATCTGCGTCGCTTACCGGCAGCGGGCAGGGCTTCCCGTTGACCTTGACGCACACGTTGAGGGGGAAGTGGTCCTCCTGTGGGCAGCTCGTCTCCGAGAGGCAGAACCTCAGCTGCAGCTGTACCGAGTAGTCGTAGCGTGAACCTGGCAGCAGCTCCCTGCCCCACAAAGCACACGCGCCCATCGAAGGTAAATCTAAACCAAAGCCATTTGCGTCATTGATGATCCCATCTACCTCTCTTTATTGCTCTGTTGCCTTGCTTTGCCTTTTCTATGGATACTTCTATGCTCAATGCTATTCTCTAGTCCCGTGTTATTACATCTGTCTGTCGATCCACTCATGTTACTACTGTCACTCCGTCCTCCCACGTGGAGTGTATGTCCTTGCCGGCCCTGCCAAACAAAACGCTTTACCCTAGACGGAACTCATTACTAACCTGTTTGTATACCTGCCTACAAACTGTAGGTGTATTTAAACCTCCATAATACAGGTTTTGTTGGGTTAGATCATGTAAATATATGTGTTGTTAACCCCACCACCACCCGACACAGCAAATTAGTAATGTTTGTCACGTAAACAGAATATACAAATTCGTTCCTAGTACAGCACACCGGTGTGTTGGAGAACAAAGCCACAACATTTACAATCATTTTTAAACCTGTTAATCGCTCACCACTGTCAGAGATATTGACAATTGGTCTAGAAAAATTATTCAGCAACCTTTGAATTGAAAAAGCAGTTTCCATGGGGTGGCATAGCGCCATCCCTTGCCGACGCCCAATTCCACGTACCTAGACGAGGATATCTGAGAGACTTGTTGTGGCGTGAGAGGGAACACAAAGTACGCCTCTTGCATGCGCTGCGTGCTGGTGGCAACTGTGGGGAAACATGCATCAAACTAAAGCTCTGACAGACATGACATTGTGTTGTGTACAAGCAATTACACCAACAGCAAGATTTGCACCCTTTGCTACCATTTAGAGCAGAGCATTTCACAACATATTTTAACCAAGTAAGACAGCAACTCTCTATGAAGAGTGATATCATGCTGCTATTGAACTACTGCTATACCTCACGTCCAGCAAAAAGTCACAAACCATCACGGTCATCATCAGCCATAGTCAATCCAACCGCTGAAGGCAAACAATCACTAAACGTTTAAAACTGCATATGGCGAAGAGCAACGCACACTCTTAGGCGGCTGTGGAGGCTGCATCCACTAACACTGGAGGGCATTGAAGACAGCTTACCCAGGCCAGTCGGTTTCATGATTTCGTCGAGTACATCGTAAAAGGGCAGCTTAGTGAGCCGCACGTCGGGCGGCGCAGGAAGGCGCGGGGGTGATCGGTGACTCATGTCAGCATCCTGCTTGGCACGCACCGACAGCAGAGGGATGGGCCCTGAGGCTGCTAGTACACACAAGCACACAAACACACGCACGCGCGGATCAACATACGTACTCACGCGCAAGATTTTTCTGTACAATGCAGAAACGGTCAAGATTCACGCTGCATTTTCACACAATCAAAAATTATGCGAATACTTTCAATCAATCCACATAACCACATATCACAAGATAAATATTCTAACCAAAAACAAAAACGTAACTTACATGCCATAGTTGGATTTGTGGGATAAAAACATATTTGGAAAATGACTATACAATGTAACAATCATAGCTTCAAGAGCCAATCCTTTATTTATACACCCACATTACAAAAACTTCCGAGTAACACCGCACATGCAGTTGTCATGAGCGGAGGCATACACCACTGTGCGAACACCGCACCGAGTGTTGTCGTGTCCAGCAATCCAAGCTTACCGGGAGGAATTTTAGCAGCGGGCGCCTGTGAGGAGCTTGCCGAATGGTGGTAGAGCAGTGCTGTGGGCGACGATAGCGTCTGCGGTCGTGGCGGCGGTGAGGAGTCTACCACCGTAGCAAACTCCGACGGCGACATCGCTTTGCCGGGGTATCGGCGCTGCTGAGTGCCAAACACGGACATGAGCCCAGACCGTAGCCCTTCCATAGCTTCGGAACAGTACACAGGTGCCCCCCCCTCCCCACCTCGCACCCAAAAAGCAATTACTAACATTGCGACACAAAACAGAAACGTTGGCAGATTACTCTGGCAGGCACCATCTACCAAATAAACACAATACATAAACAAACAACTTACATTTATTTTTTTATTTAAAGCTTTCGTGACAGCAGGGATTCATATTCTTGTTTTTTTTCGGTAAAGTCACGTAGAAGGGAAACAATAAAATAATAAAAATACAAAACAATAACTTACATTTATATCATGCCCATAAAATAATAAATGTCTCAAGAGCACACATATACAAAAGACAATATGGGAGGGACTGACACTTGACAAATACTCTGGTTTACATGCTCATATACAGCATCATGTGGTTTAATTTTCATAAGGACTCTCAATCAAAACCTGCTTCAGTGGTCTGCCTTCTATGTATGATGAACTTCTTTCGCACCATGTAGCCAACCAAGCTAATCGGAGGTGCGGGGAAGGACAACATAAGTAAAACTATATCCTTGATCAGATGCTTTGTCCCCTCTTGTACTGCATCTTAAGATATTATTTAGACCCTTTCTAAGTATACAGAGAAAATAACTTTCACTTTATTTATAAATTTGCAACAAATGTGCAGAAAAAGCCTTATTGCTAACACAGGTACCAGGACACTGGCTGCGAATGGGAGAGTGCAAGGCAAGGCAGTGATCGGGCAGGTGCGGCCGTGCCTTGCGAATGATTACTTGGTAGAGCTCCCGAATCTTGATCTGCACAGCGGCGCTGCAGCCAGACTTGAGCACCTGGAGGGCAGTCGTCATGAGCTCGTGCTTGCGCCCTGTGCGGCTCCGCCCTATGTAGCCCAGCAGAACCTGCAGCTCCGACACCCTGAAGCTCATCACCATGTGCTGCCGGCCCCAATACGCCAGCGTGTGGTGTGGGAAGGAGAAGGAGAGGTCGGTGGGTGGGCGTGTGGGGGAGCATGGGGGGGAAGGGGCATGGGGGGGGGGCATGTGAGGTATGGTGTGACAGATGGGGCAGAGGTGCCCGACGGTCGTGTGTCAGTGTGTGTGTCAGGTGTGGTGTTGAGGTGTGTGCGTGTATGCCATTAGATGCGCATGCAAAATTACGCGCAAATTCAAATGTCTAATGTCTATTTTCCCTAAACCCCAAACATAAAATGATCAAACCTTTGCTTTCCCTTCTATTAACTTATTGCTCCTCCTCTGCACTCTTATTCAATGAATTTGCCACTAGTGTGTACAAAGAATACACTGAGCTTTAAATGTTTCCTAATTCTTAAATACCTTCTTGTCTCGCACCAATTGAATATATGTACATGATATCAGCCTACTGTACAACACTGAAAATGTAGTATTTTTTGTAGGGCAGTACCATAACAAATTGAGCCACTTTGCGAGAAAGTGGGTGTTAAATAGTCTGTGACAATTACTAAAAATAGGCTCCTGTGTGCTATTGTAGCCAAAATCCAATATGTGAAAATGATGCCACATTTAATATTTAAACAAAACAGAAACTGTGTCAACACCACTTAATATATATAGTCCACGCTTGCAAAAGAGATATTCTAAACAGACTGTCATACATTTAGATAAGGGGCTTCGATGTATCACAGCAGTACATATACAGTAACGTAAACATACGCACAGCATGCAAAACTATATGTATACAGCACATATACATATTTGATGTCATGCACAGTACACTCAACAGCTCTTCATAACATGCATACACGATTTGTCCACACACTTATCAGACATTAATTGGATAGCCCTCAGCCACGAGCGCCAAATTCCAACATCTTTTTCACAACATTCTACGAATCCCACATTTGGCCTGTGTATGTGGTACGGATACAATGTACAAATACACCACCGACACAAGTATACGTACTGTACATACACTACACACAAAACACATATGTGGAACCTATTGCATAAACACAACACCTTATATACAGAAAATACAGCGTACAACACATATAACTCAGTACTTACACCATAGTACACTTAAATCACAGATACCATATAAAAGTACATACATAGCACATTATAATATTCTACAATGTTTCAGAATCTGAATATTTATTTATCTTTGAGAAATCCGATGAGCTATTAAGCTCTTTTTCACAGATGTCCAGTAGGGGCAGGTCAGAAAGTTACAACAAAAAAACGATAGGAGTGCAAAGTGTTTGTAGATTTACACAACACATACACATCCAGTCTAAAATAAAGATTCTCATTCTGATAGAGGCTGACCGAAATTAGGTTTCGGCGCCGAAAGTTGGCAAATGGCCTCTTTCGGCATACTTTCGGTTTCGGTGGAAACTGATATTGACTTTCGGTCGTCATTCGTCAACCGAAGATCTATTTTTAGAATATAACGCTAGTGCAACGTCTATCACTCTGCCTATCGGCCGGTCAGTCGGCACTAGGCAATCCTATGCGATAGGCTGTAAACACACACACACGTCAGCAGCAGCAGCTTGGGAGCGAGGTTACAGCCGCAACCATGGTCTGCTAATGTATATACGACCGGTCAACAGACGACAGCCTGCATCTCCATCCGTGGGTAGAGTCTCTTTTGAGCGGGACGACAACAAAGTGCCTCTGTTGTCTGTTCCCAGCCGCCTGCCCATCTTGGCTAATGTGTTGCGTTTGCTTAAGTCTACACGCATGTTGATACCGAGATTCGAAGTCTGACAATTAGAGGTCGACCTAAATTAGTTTTTTTTGTTTAGGCGCCGAAAGTTGGCAAATGGCCTTTTTCGGCATAGTTTCTGTTTCGGACGAAGCCAAAAAGTGAACTGTTTCTTTTCGGTTTCGGCCGAAAGTCAATTTTAAACTTTCGTTTTTTGTCGAAAGTACATTTTTAACTTTCGGTTTCGGCCGAAAGTAAATTTGTTACTGGTTTTGTTTTCGATCGAAACCAGAAATTCAGTTTTGGTCAGCCTCTACATTCTGATATAGGTACACCTCAACAAACGCAGGGGTTACAGTCCTGGAAAATGCCGTGTTGGGCATAATCACGTTCAACAAAGACGTTTAGGGAAATAGGGTTGCGTACCTTTATCACCCCCTCCCTCTTTGTTTTACTCACGCTCCACGATTTCCCCCCCTTATTGTAATAAAGTATGCCGAGTTGCTCTCCATTTCTTGTGTACACTTTTAATATCACCTCAACACTGAACCCCCGTCGTCTCCTTCCTCTTCCCGCATCGCACAATCAAAGCCCAACGTTTGCCCCCGACAATGAATTGCCAGCCCGACGCTCGCCCCTGACACTGAATCCCGAACCTCACTCCCCATTCGTCCATATCTCGATAAACGAATCAACGCCCGAGTTTGGCGTCTGTCCAGATAGTTCAGCCCGGCTCAATGCGTGCGGCAGTGTTGATAATGTGCGTTGTTGCCCATGTGCGTGTCGAGTATCTTCTTCTGTCGTATGGCTGCTGATCAAGATGCAACTACCATTTAACAAATTTTGATCTAAAGCTTTCGTGACTGCAGGGATTCATATTCTTGGTTCTTTCGGTAAAGTTACGTAGAAGGGAAACAATAAAATAATAAAAATATAAAACAATAAAATTCTCACAATGTTTCGACTGCAACACAAGCAAGCATCATCAGGTGTGAAAAACACAGCAATAAAACTTGAAAAAAGTGGCGGTTTTTTAACGTTAGCACCACAGAGATCGATTTGGCAGTTATTCAGATTGACGAGTCGATCTATATTCTTAGTTTTTTCGGTAAAGTCATGTTGAAGAGAAACAACAAAATAACAAAATATATATAAAACATTAAAAAATTCTCACGACGTTTCGACCATAACTCAAACGGTCATCATCAGGTGTGTTGGTTTGCATAAATTTATTTTTAAACGGCACATTTATTTATTTATAAAAAAACGTTGGCGTCACGCGCAGCGATTTGGCAGTTTGCCCAGGACTAGTCCATCTATTTTTTTTTTAAAAGAGGATGGGGGAGACGAAATTTTTTATAATGTATGCTGTCTGAAAGCCACTGTAAGCGTGAACAATCAATTAAGAACTGAAATGGTTTATCAAATCTTTCCAATGATTGCTAAGATAGAATCCATCTTCTCGGTTGAAATTGTCTCTGTGCTTGTATATGTGGATAGCCTCATGAACGAATCTCTCATGGAAGCCAGATGGCTTACAAAGAACCTCCGTCTTGGAAAAGTCAATGGCATGTGAGCCTACTGAATTAGAACAATGATCTGCTACGGCCGAGGTGTTGGTCCTACCGTGTTTAAGGTCTGCTTTATGTTCACGAATGCGGTCCGAGACATGGCGTTTGGTTTCTCCAATGTAACTACTACCAAAGAGGCAACTTAGTTTGCAGACACCAGGGTATTGTATGTCCGGAATCACATCTTTTACAGACGGAACCAGATCATGGATTTTATGTAATGTGTTGAAACGGACCTGGATCTTGTGTTTATTCAAGATTTTGGAGATCTTTTTTGTGATCCCAGCAATGTAGGGTAAAGTGATGGTTTTGAAAGGCTCCTCAAGAGGGTTCTTCTTCATGGTTTGAGTGATAGCTTTGCGGATTGTATAGTCGGAGTAACCATTAGCCCTAAGAGCTTGGTGTACGTGCTTGAGTTCACTGCTTATGTGTTCCTGGTCGGATATGCATTGGGCTCTATGATACAGAGTCTTGATGAGAGAATTCTTCTGTGATGGATGGTGGTGGGAATCCGGTTTCAGATAAGCATCCGTATGGGTAACTTTCCTGTAGACAGAGTGGCTCATTGAACCATCAGGTCTCTTTTTAATTAGGACATCCAAAAAAGGTATCTTGCCATCTATTTCGACTTCCATGGTAAATCTGATGGCTGGGTGTATGGAATTGATGTGGTCGAAGAATTGGTCTAGAGCAGGCCGGCCATGTGGCCAGATGACAAAAGTGTCATCCACGTACCTCTTCCATAAGGTTGGGCGCAGAGTGGCAGTCTGGATGGCGTCAGTCTCAAATTTCTCCATGAAAATGTTAGCTATAACTGGAGAGAGGGGGGAGCCCATTGGGGTGCCCTCAGTTTGTTTGTAGAAAGTTCCATTCCAAGTGAAGTATGTATTGGTTAAACAGTGTCTCACCAGGGGGGGTACCTCAGTGTTTAGTCCTTGATGAACCAAGTCTTCAATGATTGCAATGGTGTCAGGTACAGGAACCTTGGTGAATAAGGAAACTACATCAAAACTGACAAGCAGGTCGTCTGGGGACAGGGAAATACCCTTGATTGTCGATACCAGGTGAGTAGAATTTTGTACCGCAGAGGTGGTCTTTCCAGTGAAAGGACGCAGGATTTCAGACAAAAAACGAGCTAGTTTGTAGGTGGGGGAGCTGATAGTAGAGACTATGGGACGAAGAGGTGTATCAACTTTATGTATTTTTGGTAAGCCGTATAATCTTGGTGGCCTGGCAGCAGGCCACCAAGTCGATCTATGTTCGGAAAAGAAGAGGGGGGAGACAAAAATAATGGATGCGGTCTGAAAGCCACCGTAAGCGTGATCAATCAAGACCCGAAATGGTTTATCAAATCCTTCCAATGATTGCTAAGCCAGAATCCATCTTCTCGGTTTAAATTGTCTCTGTGTTTGTATATGTGGATAGCCTCATGAACGAATCTTTCATGGTAGCCAGATGGCTTGCAAAGAACCTCTGTCTTGGAGAAGTCAATGTGATGTGAGCCTACTGAATTATAACAGTGATCTGCCATGGCCGAGGTGTTGGTCCTACCGTGTTCTAGGTCTGCTTTGTGTTCACGAATGCGGTCCGAGACATGTCGTTTGGTTTCTACAATGTAACTACTACCACAGAGGCAACTTAGTTTGTAGACGCCAGGGTACTGTATGTCCGGAATCACATCTTTTACAGACGGAATCAGATAATCGCGTCAGGTGCAGCAGAGTGTATCATCGCTGTGATGACTCCTTTGTATGCTGTATGCATGGATTCGGCATTGCGTCGTTATATGTTGTATGGTCTGTTCTGGATGACCACAGTCGCACACTGGAGAGTTTTTTTATTTTTATTTTCTGTGTGCGCATCAGGTAACCACATCTGCCATGATTTGTGCGTATGCGGTTTAGCGTGGACCATGAGCTTCGTGAAAGATCAAAACCAGGGATCTTCTGCGTTGGTTTGTTGAGTATGTTACATTAGCACACAAAAACCATACACGGTAAATAAATCACTCACAATCTATTCATTCACAACTGACGGTGCGCAGATGAGAATCTTAGCAGCGTCAAACGTTGCCGAGCCGAAACACGCATTCGATAAAACCTCGTTGAACCAAGCTATAGTGTACATTAGTGGTTTTCGTTTTCTTATTATTTTTTTAATCTTATTTTTAAAATATATTTTTCTTTTTATATACATTATTTTATTATATTTTTTCTATCTATGTGACTTTACCGAAAGAACCTAAGAATATTAATTCCTGCAGTCACGAAAGTTAAGTAAAAAAAATAAAACCACGTTGGTTAAGGTTTTCCCGTACAGTACACACCATTTCAAAACTCCACATGCACATCGATAAGCAACTAAATTATTACTGTACACTTACACAGCACACATACCATATAAACAGTACATATACCAGAATACACACAGCATAGAGATACCGTATAAAAGGTACACATACACAGCACATATACATTTCAAGAGTTCTCACCGAGCACGATTCCATATGACCAGTGCAAACACCTTGCACAGAAACAATATACACCTACCATACAACATAAACTGCATTTATAAAGCATCTCAAAGCAATGCCTTATCAACAAAATACATTTTAAGACACGCACTGACAGCTGGAAGACGCGCACTAGATGTCTTAAAAGAGCCAGTATTTAAACCAAAAAAGACCAGTTTGTGACCTAACTGGCTTTTGTCTAGCTAGTTTTTCAGTAATGCCCATTTCATCGTTCCGGACGCCTGTCATTGAGTATGGGTATAAAAGTCACAGTAACTACAACTAAGCTGCCACTCTGCAAAGATTACCATATCAGAAAATGCTCTAAACACATGGAGGATTACAAAAATCATTACTAGACTTTGCCACATCAGGTGGTACCAATAAGTATTTTTTTTGGTTTGGCCCCATGGACTAATTGGACAAGATGACAGCCCACTGACACGGACGGCCGGCTGGGCTATAAGGGCTCGGATTATACAGCACCACCATAAACCGCGTTTGCCATCACCACCATCCGCAGTGTTGCACCTCAGCAAGTTAACAAATCGACAAGTTTTAACTCTTCACAGCGACAGGCCGCGCTAACATTTTTTTTTAAAACGGAGGTTCGCGGCCTACTCCGCCCGGCACAGCCTGCTCCTTCCACTCACAGCGACAAGAGCGAGGCCTCGGCCAACACCTGCTGCCTCACAGCGACAAAGCCGCCAAACATTGTTTTTTTCCCTTTCTCGCGCGCGTCTCGGAGCAATGAAAACAAGACAAGGAGTCCACGCGAGGATAACGCGACACGCCCGGGGGAGGGCTCCAGGAGGGGTTTCGCGGCCCCGAGGAGACAAGACGCCGACGGTACCTTGAGCTCCGCCGTGTCGGCCATCTTCTTCCCTCCTCCGCCCTCGATCCCGCATCACGTGGCGCGCACCTCCACCAATCGCGTGCCGCCAGCCGGCCTTGTCAGAACAGAGGGAGTTTTTCCCTCCGTCGTCGTTGGAGTGAGGGGCGGGGAATTAGGCCCGACCCTCACCAATCACCAAACTCACCAGACATTTACCACTCACCAAAATCACCTGGCCCCTCACCAATCTCACCAGACATTGACCGCCCATCAAGCTCACCTGACCCCTCACCAGACCTTTCAAGTTTCATTTATTAGGCATAGCCCTTTGAGCCATGCGGCTCTTAACTCGGGTGCAACCGCTACAAACACAATTTTAACACAACATCTTAAAGCGACAACGCGTAACAGAAACATCCTGGAATAAACCAGCAAATATTCCACACAAAAAAACATGTTAAAACGCTGTGTGTTAAAATCACAATGTGGTGCAAGCCAACAACAACAACCATACGACAATTTAGATTAACCATGTTTTCGAATCAATAAAATAACGCTATAAAAACAATGTAACAACAGTAATCATAGGAACTGTGATTTCAAATTTAACAATAAACGATATACATAACACGTACGAAAAAATCTGCAGCCATAGCTGGCAGCACGACACTCCCAGTGTATGATGTGTGAGTGAGTCAGCAGCAGCAGCGTGAGTGAGTGTATGATGTGTGAGTCAGTGTATGATGTGTGAGTCAGCGTATGATGTGTGAGTGAGTGTATGATGTGTGAGTCAGCGCACGATGAGTGAGTCAGCGCACGATGAGTGAGTCAGCACATGATGAGTGAGTCAGCGTATGATGAGTGAGTGAGCCAGCGGCAGTGTGAGTGTATGATGTGCGAGTGAGCCAGCACACGATGAGTGTGAATGGGTCAGTGGTTGTGCGAGTGTTATGATGTGAGTGAGTAAGCGCATGATGAGCGAGTCAGTGCACGATGTGTAAGTGAGTCAGTGTATGATGTGTGAGAAAGTCAGTGTCGGCTCCCTCTGCTCGCGCCGTCGCCCCCCCCCCCAGCTCCGTCGCCCCCCCCCCAGCTCCGTCGCCCCCCCCCCGCTCCGTCGCCCCGCCCCCGGCCCCGTCGGCCCCCCCGGCTCCATCGGCTCCCTCCGTCGGCTCCCTCGGCCCCCTCACAAACGGCCCCGCCAGCCGCTGCTGGGAGCCCGGCCCGGGAGCGCCCCGGGAGTGCGCGCGCCTCAGCGATTTTGGACGATTTCTGATTCCTCACCCCCTCGTCACACGGCGTCACAAAAAGTCAGACCCCCCCTCAAATATGACGTCACAAAGCCCCCCCCCCCCCCAAAAAATAAAACCTGCTTCAAATCGCTTTAAACTATTGTCATTGTAGTGCGTATTTAATGTGGCGCTGCACTCTCATGTTGTAGGTATGTAGGAGAAAACATTTATTAAAAAAGTCTATTAAATTAAGTACCAGATGACACCATCGGAGGGGGTGACACCAAAATGACTGTCTATAACATTTTTGTGCAGTATTTCAGCATAATTTTTAAAAAAAAAAAAATATTCCTCCACGTAGTTATAACAACAAAAACATTTTTCATAAGCCCAATATACCTACAAGGCTAAAACTCTATGCTAATTAACTTGTTGAACCTTCGAACGCGCTCCGGTCAGAGCTGTCATTGTTACCCAATTACAATGACGCTTCGAGCCACGTGGTTTCGTTTGCACGCGCTACAAGCACGCGCGATTTTTTCGTCGCTGCTGACGTTTTTATCGTCGCTGATTTTGTCAAATTTTCTGGTGTTTAAGCTACAATATTGTGGTAATTACTATTTGTGAACCTATATGAATAACTTCTCTAAGAATAAAGTAGTATCTTCTTTGGTTCTTTCGGTAAAGTCACGTAGAATGAGAATAAAATAATAAATTGATGAATCATTGCAGTCACGAAAGCTTTAAATCGAAATAAAGTAGTAATTAAAGGAAAATAAAAAAAGGCTTCCGCTCAATTACAAATAATGTTGTAACTAACAATGTTGTAATTCAATGTAGAAAGATTTAACAAAACAATGTTATTAGTATTCATATAATTTAAGAAATATCACGTATTATTCTATTATTCAAATTGATAATAAACTTACATGAAGAACAATTATTGATTATATAACTCTTCGATAACTAAATAGAGAAATTGACTATTTAAAACATTAAGTGGGGGGGGGGGGGGGATACTATGTTTCTTGATACGTGTTTAGAAATTTTTATTTAAAAACATCACTGTTTTGCAAATATATATCCGATTTCTCTAGCCCCACCCACTCCAAGCATATATAACCTGTGGCTGCAGTGGCTCTGCCTTTGGCTGCAGTAGCCCTCTCGCTATATTTCTTCCTCAGCAGTCCGCCTGCTGTATTTGTTCACCTGAAGACAAATTGCTTGTGTTGCGATCGAAACGTCGTAGATTTTTTCATCATTTTATTATTTTTCTATCTACGTGACTTTACCGAAAGAACCAAAGAATATGAATTCCTGCAGTCAAGATTTAATGTAGTTCTTAAACGTTTTTACTTTTTTACTTCGAATTCTATTGTTTTCTTCCCGAATTTTCACTTTAACCACATGCAACTATGTAAAAGTACATTTAGGCTGTACGTATGCTATTGTAATTTAAAGGTGTAATTTTAATTTTGCTAGTTGTCTACGTCACTACTATTGCCATTACATTCAGTGATATACGGGAATTACGATTTACGAGTAATATTAGTACAAAAAAAACATTACTAAGGATTCTGTATGGTCTGGTAGTGGAGGATGCCCATAAGGGGTGACACCATGAGTTACCGCACTGGGTGACACCAACCCTAGTGACGCCACTGCCACTCACCTGACCCCCCCACCATCAATCCCACCACTCACCTCATCCTCACAAAACTCACCCGACCGTCACCCCTCACCAAAGTCACCTGACCCTCCCTCATCAACACACCCGACCCTCAAAACTCATCAATTTCACTGAATCCTCACCACAAACCAGACCTTCACCAAACCCACCCGACTCACCACTCATCAAGTCTTAAATTTACCTAAACCCTCATCAGCTCACCTGACACCAGTATACATGTAGGTGTCGTTAAATTAATAAACAAATTACCTGCTAGGTGGTACCTTGTGTTGTGGGCGCGGTGTGGTGCCGTCACTCCTCACCGTGTGGTTGCCTTAAAGGGAAAATACTGCGTATCCAGTCCCGTATTTTAACACCACTATAATGAGGTGTATCATGGGGATGAAATAATTTTAAATATTAGCCAGCCAGCAAAACTGCTGTCTACTATACTGTAGTATGAATTTGAACAGAGGGAGTTTCTAGCCCGGGTGAGTCTTGAACTTGGACTGTATTGCGTTGTCAGCAAAGCGTATAATGAATACTCAGGGAGTGACTCCGTTCAGGCGCTACCCCGAACCCTTTCCATCTGCTAATGTTATCGTCTTCTCCGTTCTTTATGGAACTTCCCCTCCACAGATCCCATTCGTTTATCCTAACGGTTTCCTAACCGATCCCTTCATTTTCATTGGGGTCCCCCCCGGGATTTTTCAAATGACCCTGATGGCCAATCTGATGTAAATGGTTCTCCACCTTCAAATCGGATTGTGCATCCTAAACAAACTGACAACACTTTATTTTATTATGTAAAATCATTTTATTATATGAATGGAGATTACGTTTAGTGATCCGAGTACAGAATGGGCATGGCAATGACAGCTCTCTCTTATCTCTACTGTACTCGGATACTGTACTTTTTCGTGGAGAGACATGGAGACATTGCTCGGCCAAATTGTCTTGGGCAATTATTGCCTGCCTGCAGGTGGCGCTGTGATCACACAAAACGCAGAGCCCATTTTGGCTGCTGCTCCACACACGTGTTAACAGTGACAGGTACACACTGATGAATCCATAAACGCCGTGTTCCAGAGTGTAAATCAGTATCACCTGAGGCGACGTCACTGCAGCCGCACTGATGTCTTTACCTGAGCCATAAAACAAAATGGTGAGTTATTGGACAAGCTACACATCCGACAAAGGTGCTGCTTTTTTTCTTCACTGTATTAAAATCAAATTGATGACATTGTGGTGCTTTGGCATCTCAAGTCGCTCTGACGAGTGAAAACACAAAATGTGCAGCATAATGGTGCATTGGTTCGTTGGATCTTCAGTTTAACATGTAGGCCTTCGCGACCAATATTACTCTCCAACACATCGGTGTGTTGAAGTAGTAACTATTTGGCCTTTTCTTTACGTGACAAACTTTACTCATTGGCTGTGTCGGTTGGTGGCGGGTTTAACGATGCATTTATATTTATGCGATTTAACCCAAACACCTTTATTATGTTTGCATCTTCAGTTCACGATACGTGCATTAAAGCATACGTGTACGCATCCATAGTTTTTGACGTGTATACATCGTATGTTATGGGTTCATAGAACGTACTGTATATGTTATTTGACTATAGAGGCCAATCATGACATTTTACAACCACATGCAAACGGTGGCCCAACGTTAGCGTGTTTACTGGGTATACACACTGCACTACTACCATTCACCACATTATATACTATATATAAAACTAATAATCCATTATTGAATAGCACTATGAACCTGAATTGCTACGTTTCATTATTGAAGCACTTGGCGCAAGTGAATTGTTCCATCCCTAATTAAGTGTTCTACTTCTATACATACCACATTTCGTGAAACTAAAATTGTTTTTTTTTCAAGGTCAAAATATTAAAGACTCAACACATTCGTCAGAAATACTGCTTGTGTGGCCTTTAAAGAAAACATAAAAATGAGGAGACGTTTTGGGAAGTGGCCTTTCTTCATAGAACAGTAAAATAGTTTTGTTTTAATCTGCAACAGTTCCACGGACCACTTCCTGCAGGCCTTTCAGACTACCATTAACCCATGGGATCACGTCCTGCAGGCCTTTCGGACCACCAGTGATTCACGGGACCACGTCCCACTATTCTTTCAGACCACCAGTAGCCCACAGGACCTCTTCTCGCGGTTCTTTCAGACCACCAGTGGCCCACGGGACCATTTCCCCCTGGCCATTTATACCACCAGTAGCCCACAGGACTTCTTCCCGCAGGCTTTTCAGACTACCAGTGCCCCACAGGATCACTTCCCCCAGGCCTCTGAGACCACCAGTGGCCCACGGATCGCAATTGGGAACCACTGCTTCTAGAAACTGCAAAACTGTGAAGTGAAACAGTTGGGTAATGCACATTAAAAAGGACTATGGAAAATGTAATCACGTCTGCACGTTTGACACTGTTAAATGCACTGATGGTAGTTTT